GCGCAGCACCTTCTGTTCCTTGCCGTCGACGACGAAACCGGGCGGCTGCGCGACGTAGACTTCCTCCTTGAGCTCGCCGTTGAGGAACGCTGATTTCACGTCCATATGATGGACGGCCCAACCTTCGCTCGCCGCGTACGCCAGCAGCAAGCGAACCGACTCGAGCCGTGCAACTGGGGCAAACACTTCGTCGTAGTCGATTCCCTGCCGCTGCACGTATCCTTTTGCGACGAGCCGCGCTTTGTGCTTGGTGATGTTGCCGGCAGCGTCTTTCTTCGTCTTGAAGACCCACTTGAGTCCTATGGGCCGCTGGCGAGGTGGGGGATCGACGAGCAGCCAGGTTCCGTTTTCTTCAATTGATTTCATCTCATCCAGCATAGCTTGACGCCAACAGTCTTGCTGTTGCGCCTCGGCGAGAGACGCTGGCTCTTCAGCACTTGCCATCATGAGTTCGTCATCGAACTCGCGCACAGCCAGTCCCGGCGGGGTCGCCGGTCCTAATATCTCGTCGACGCGGCGGAACCGAAGCGGAGCATCATCATGATCGGCGTCGAGGTCGTCCGCGGCGATGGTTGGTGGAGTCGCGAATTCCGCCGATGTCGCAGTTGTGCCCGCCGTGGCGGCAGGTGTGCATGGACTTGTCGATGTCGCGGACGGAGTCGGCAGCTCTGGCTGCTCCGAGTCAGCTCGTGGCGCGTTCACCACAGCTGGGTGGTACACAGTGGTGTACTCGATGGTGAAGTCCAGCTCACTCGCCGTCTCGCCGTCCCACCTCCATTGCGCCTCTTCGTCGAATGCGACGTCACGTGAGATGTGCACGCGCCGAGAGGCAGGGTCGTAGCAGCGATACGCCTTCGACCCCGGCTCATAACCCACAAAGATCATGGGTTTACTCCTGTCGTCGAGCTTCTTGACATTCGGCGTGGTGGTCTTGACGTGTGCCAAACACCCGAACGTCCGCAGGTGGTGGACGGCCGGCGGCGATCCGTTCCACAGCTCGTATGGTGTCTTCCCACCAATACTTTTGGATGACGACCTGTTCAGGAGATAAACAGCTGTGGTGACTGCCTCCCCCCAAAACATACCTGGCAGCCCTTTGGCTTTGAGCATGCTCCGCGCCGTCCCGACCACCGATTGGTTGCGACGTTCCACGACGCCGTTTTGTTGCGGCGAGTAGGGCGCCGTCGTCTCGCGTCGGACTCCCAGCTCGGCGCAGTAATCCGCGAAGTGGTGGACCAGGAACTCTCCCCCCTATCCGTGCGAAGAGCACGTAGCTTCTTGCCGCTCTTGCGTTCAGCCGCGGCTTGGATGCGCTTGATGGCTGCCGCCGCCCCATCCTTGGAGGGGAGCAGTGACAACCACATGAAACAGCTGTAATCATCGACGAGAAGGAGAAAGTACCGGTTGTCGCTCGGAGTTGGTGGCGAGATCGGGCCGCAGAGGTCGCCGTGGAGTAGTTGGAGCGGCTCCAGGGAGCGCTGTTGAGCCTGCTGTGGGAACGGCGTCCGACGGTGCTTGCCGGCGAGGCAAGCCTCGCAAAGCTGGTCAACTTGCGACACAGCCGGAAGACCGCGCACTAGCTGCTCTCTGCCCATTTTCCGCAGCGCAGTGAAGTTAATGTGGCCGAACCGTGCATGCCACTTCCATGCTTCGTCGCCGATGCGTGCCGTAAGGCAGACCGGGCGCGCGAGCTCGACGTCGAGGACGTAGAGACGTCCAGGATTGCGGTGAATACGGGCAAGCAGGCGCCGCTGCTCATCCCATATCCGCATAACGCCATCCTCGGCCTCCACCTTGAAACCGGTCTCGTCTAGCTGCCCGACACTAATGATGTTAGCAGCGAGGCGTGGAATGAGGTAGGTGTTGGAGAGGGTTCGATGCTCCCCATTCTTACAGGAGAAGAGCACGGTGCCTCGCCCTTCGATTCGGACGACGGAGCCGTCTCCTAGTCGGACGTTGCCGGTGATGCCTGTGTCAATGTCGGAGAAGGCCGTCCGGCAGCCGGTCATGTGGTTGGAGGCGCCGGAGTCCACAATCCAGCGGCCCGGATCACGCTTCGCGGCGTCGTCGAGCGCCGCGAACAGCTTCTTTTCCTCCAGGTAGATGGGATCGGATGACGGAGTTGGCGCAGACGGCGCTGGTGCATGCTCCTGTTCACATGCATGTGTGATTACTCCTCCTGTGAGGAGAAGCAAGGTGGGCTCGTCGTCTTGTGCCACGTGGGCCTGTTCATCCCGCTTGGGCTTGCTCCTGCAATCCTTGGCCCAGTGGCCGTATTTGCCACAGTTGCGGCATTTGTCTTCACGACGGGCCGCTCCGGAGTTCGTATTCTTCGCGCCGCCGACTCCAGCGCCGCCGCCGTTGCGGCCTTTGCCGCCTCGCCGCTTGCCACGGTTGCTTGGGCTGCCTGAGTTCTTCTTTGCCTCCTGCTCCTTTTTATTGTGGCGCTCTAGCCATTCTTCCTCGGTGAGGTAGAGCTTGCCGGCGTTGTCTGAGGACGAAGATGGCAATGGCATGGCGTCCTCAGCTGCCTTGAGTCTGCCGGTCACCTCCTCCAGGGACAGTGTAGAGATATCAAGGAGAGTTTCAATGGAAAGGACGAGTTGGGTGAACCTGGGACGGGCGACGCGCAGGTACTTCTCGACGACCTTGTCTGCCGGCTCGGGATCGCCGAGCGTCGCGAGTTGATTGACGGTGGAGGTCAGGCGCATGGCGAAGTCCTCCACGGTCTCACCGTCGCGAAGGACGAGCGACTCGTACTCCATGCGCACCTTCTGTGCGCTTGCTTTGCGAATTCGGTCGTCGCCGACTCGCAGGATCCTGATGCAATCCCATGCCTCCTTGGCCGAGGCCTTGGTGGCCAAGGTCGAGATCATCTCGGGGGGCACCGCGCTGCAAATGGCGTCAAGCGCCATCCTATCCTCATGAAGCTCGACGCCGCCTGGATCGATGGCGCCCCACAGGCACCGGGCTTGCAGTTTGATCTTCATCAGCAAAGACCAATCGTTGTAGTTGGTTCTTGTCAACAGCGGGTAGTTCGCTGCACCTCCTGCTTCCTTGACCACGCGGTGGATCACCAGCCCGCGGTCGCTCCCGCCGCTGCCCGAGGCGCGGCCGCCGGAACCTGAAACATGCACGGACGGTGACGCCGACCGCCGGCGCGGGGAGTGCGTGCGTCCTCGAGGCATGAAGACACCCTCAAGAGCGCGATCTCGCGTCCACGCTCTGAACCGAGCTCTGATACCACTTGTCAGGTTTCCCTAAGTGATCGACAAACAAGCTGTGGAAAACACACGCGAACACGAGGAAACACGCTGAGTTTTGTGGTGCGATGAAGCTGCACCTTTTCGGTTTTTTTCTTCTCCTTTTATTATGCAAATAACAGACTTAGGATTCGATCCCACGTCCCGGTTCTTTCGCGTCCATCCCCGCGATCCGAGAGACGCGTTCACGTCCCGTTGTCCAGGCCAGTCGCGCATGCAACAACAGAAAAACTAACATGCATGCAGCAACAGAAAGGAACGTAAAACTAGCTACTACTAGATACATTGTGTAAGGTTTGTCAGGTTTCCCTAAGTTATCGACAAACAAGCTGTGGAAAACACACGCGAACACGAGGAAACACGCTGAGTTTTGTGGTGCGATGAAGCTGCACCTTTTCGGTTTTTTTCTTCTCCTTTTATTATGCAAATAACAGACTTAGGATTCGATCCCACGTCCCGGTTCTTTCGCGTCCATCCCCGCGATCCGAGAGACGCGTTCACGTCCCGTTGTCCAGGCCAGTCGCGCATGCAACAACAGAAAAACTAACATGCATGCAGGAACAGAAAGGAACGTAAAACTAGCTACTACTAGATACATCGTGTAAGGTTTATTTCCAACAGTGCCGTTGTCGGCCGGCTCGGCATGCTGACCACGTCCATCGGTGGTACCGCCGCCTCCCTCACCCGCGCTGCTCCTCCCACCTTCAACGCTGCCGCCGCAGGTGCAGAAGAAGCCACCGCCGAATGCCGCCATCTTCGAGAGGATGCCGACGTGAGTCGCGGTGGCGAGACGCAGGCGGCCCTTACGTGTTCGTGGGCACGGCGGGAGAACTGCGGAGGCAGGTGCGTCGTGGCCGGCAGAGAGGGCGTCGAGCGCAGCGGTGGATAGTGCGGTGGCGGGGCCGAGGGTGGCGAGGACGCGGCCGTTCTCATGGCTCGTTTTCTTCCTTCCAACAGCCAACCTTCCACGGCGGCCTCGATCTCCGCCGCCGCCGCCGCTCTGGCCCTCGCGCGCACGTCGCTGTCGCCGCTCCAGTGCCACTCCCGGGTCTCCGCCGCTTGCGGGCTGATGCACCGCCGCCGCCAGCAACGACGCCGCGGGAAAGGGGAGGAGGAGGCTGTGGATGGAGTTGGAGGAGGCGCCGGCCACCGCCGCTAGCTCCCGTCCAACGCTCACGAAGAGAAAGAGAGGGGGAGGATATGATTTATGTAGGCCCCACATGTCAGTGGGTCCCACCTGTACTTTTGGTGAATGACAAATGGGTCCCACCCATATTTTTTATTTCTAATGACACGTAAGTGCCACGTCAACGCCACGTGGACAGAAGACCGAGTCAATATTGTCACGTATGCGCCACGTCAGCGAAACCGCCCTCCAAAACCGCCGAGGGAGTCAAATTGCACTGGTTTTAAGAGTTGGGGGTCGAGATATCCGGTTTTGTGGTTTAGGGTCACGGGTTAGATCTCGATCACTTTGAGGGTCACGAAGTGAACTTATTCCTATATTATCAAGATATACAAAGAGAGGCCGGACACAAACTTATTCACCGGCCTCTTAGCCCAGATCGATCAGTCTCTTTGAAATTGAAATTGGGCCTCATTTAGTCTGTTAGGCTTTCAAGCTTCCAGCCCAGTTTAGTTCAACGCCCATTTTGGAAGGTCAGAACTAATGAACTACGTACAGTACTAGTAATCAGTAGTACTGTACTGAAATCATATTACTGAAATGGAGACTTCTTTAGGCGTTGACTTCTCCCTTTTCCTTTACTATTTCTTTTCTCTTGGCTAGAGTACACAAAACAAATACTTAATTAAATCATTGTTGTTTACTTTAAAAGTTGTAGCACTCCTACATGTGCACTGTGATTCTCTCAGTTTTGTATCATCAAGATAAGAAAAAAAAAAGAGTCGATGATAATACTATTATTAGTGCTTATCCAGATTCCAGGGTCGATGATTGATTGGGTTGGTTGGAACGTGCGATGGAATGATCGATCGATCGACGCCGTGGCGCTGGGAGCACCGGCCACATCAATGAATCATACTGTACTAACCTGCATTAATATCACTAATCAGTACAATTAGTTAGGAGCTCTGCATAGTGCATATGATATGGTAGGAGTATCAATCTTGGCTCGTCGTACCTGCCGTGGTCGGTCCTGACCCACACGTTCTCCCGCCCAATTTCCTCGCAAAATCATTAGCCGCCCCAGCTTTCCTCTGAATTCCACACGCATTGAACCATATATAAACTCCCCCATTTCTCGATGAGCTCGTCGATTGGTGAACACAACATCATCAACTACCAACCCATCCAGCAGAATCTAGTTAGTTAATTAAGGAGTAGTGTGCTAACTACGACTTGGAAGAAGAAGAAGAAGAAGAAGAAGAAGAAGAAGAAGCAGCAGCTGAGCTCGATCAGCTCGTCAATGGCGATGAAGAAGCCAGATCAGCCAGCTCTTGATCTTCCCAGTAGCCTCTCCACTGTCTCCTACTGGTCAGTCTCTGATTACGATCATCATCTTCTTTCTTGATCCAAGCTAGCTTGGCAGATTAATTAATATACGGTATTAATTAAGTAGGATTAATTAGTAAGGAGTAGCTTACGAATGGATGAAATGTGTATGTGTTGTCAGCTGCGGGGCGTGCGGGTACGACCTGAAGCTGAGCTCGTCGGCGAGGGACACGGCGGGGATGGTCGTCGCCGGCGGCGGCGGGGGATACCGGAGGCGGCGGGGGGTGGTGAGGTTCGGCGCCATCGACGACGCGAGGTTCGGGCACGTGGACGAGTTCCGGTGCGTGGACGTGCGCGCGCGCCGCCTCTTCACGCGGCGGACGCGCCTCCTCTGCCGCAAGTGCGGCGCCCACGTCGGCTTCGCCTACGACGACCGCGCCGCCCGCTCGCCGCCGTCGTCCTCGCCGCCGCCGCCGCGCTACGACATCAAGATCCGCGCCCTCCACCCCATCGAGGCACCTCAGCCGTCCGATCTCTGAATCAAACGAAGCTTCGCGTCTCGCGACTGAATTATTGGCGCAAGGAAGTCGCTGTCCGAAATGCAAAGTCGCTGGATTTGATTGCTTGCATCGAACGAAATCGAAATGTACAAAACTTCTAGTGGACAGGGTCCCTTTCTTGCCATATTTTCTTCCTCTTTTTTTTTGAAAAAGTAAATGAGCTGAATGATATTTTCCTCCTCTCTTTTTTTATGTCAAAAGTAAATGGAGTTGAATGATTGTTCTTGACTTTTTCTCTGCTTTGTGTTTAGTTGTTCGGCCGGCAGGCCGGCAGGCCGGCCTGCCTCGAGAGGAAATGGCCAAAAAGAGTCTTGTCCTAGAGAAAATTTGATTTCATCCTTTGATTGAAATGCAATTTCGATTTGCACATAGTACATACGACTTGGAATAGCCTGAAATAATTCTCCGAACGGCAACAAAGTTGTCAACTGAAGAAAAGATTTACTCCTACGTAGGCTCAGCTTAGTTCCCAAAATTTTTTTCCCAAAAACATCACATCAAATCTTTGGACAGATGTATGGAGTATTAAATATAGATAAAAACAAAAACTAATTGCACTGTTTGCATGTAAATCGCGAGACGAATCTTTTGAGTCTAATTAGTCCATGATTAACCATAAGTGTTACAGTAATCCACATGTGTTAACGACGACTTAATTAGGCTCAAAAGATTCGTCTCGCGGTTTCTACGTGAAATTACTTTTTTTATTTGTGTCTAAAAACTCCTTCTAACATCCGGTCAAACGTTCGATATGACACCAAAAAAAAATTTCTTTTCACGAAGTAAACAGGGTCGTAGTTGTATTAGTGAGTTTTTTTTAAAAAAAAATCCATGTGCTCCAGCAGACATCCAGGTGACATCCTGAAACTATTTCATATACTCCCTCTATTTTTTAATAAATAGATGACGCCGTTGACTTTTTCTTATATGTTTGATCATTCGTCTTATTCAAAAATTTTATGCAAATGTATAAGATATAAATCACACTTAGGCTATGTTTGATAGTCAGGGTTCCTAACCCCTCTCCCTCGTTTTTCGCACGCATGTTTTTCAAACTACTAAACGGCGTGGTTTTTTAAAAAAAGTTTCTATACGAAAGTTGCTTAAAAAATCATATTGATCTATTTTTTTAAAAAAAATTAACAAATACTTAATTAATCACGTGCTAATGGACCGCTCCGTTTTCCATGCCGGAGGGTTAGGTTCCCAGCCCGGGTTAGGTTCCCAGCCCAGGGAACGAACGCGGCCTTAAAGTACTATGAGTGATAAAACAACTCATAACAAAATAAATTATAATTACGTAATTTTTTTTAATAAGACGATTGGTTAAACATGTGAGAAAAAGTCAACGGCGTCATCTATTAAACGGAGGTAGTACAACATACAAGGCGACAAATAAAATCAACACCTGTAGTTGCTTGCTTACCACCGTGCGTTTCTTAATAAACCAAAACTTGTTCGGTCGAGGTACCAGAAACTGACAAAGATCACAAACTTGTTCTGGGTTTATTGTCGCAACTCCCTGACAAAATATCCTGAAAGACTGACCTTTTGGTCAAGAATTCAAGACCCCAGGAAGCAGAATCTCAGCACCTTCCGGCCTTCATCTATATTTAAGAATCAAGATCCATCATCAACTATTGTTTACTGCACTGCATATTTATCTTCTCTCGAAACACCACAGGCAGAAGACACAGGAAACCATAAGTATTTTATATAGAGGACACAATGCCGAAGTGGTTGAACTGAATGTGCCTTGCATCTGCAGCTACCATCTTCTGCCGACACCAAGTCCCCTATCACATTCTCTCCATCATCATCGTCATCATCTTGCAGGAACAATGGTGAAGTGGCCAAGAGGGAAGCAGAGGCAATACTGTCTTTACTGTGAGTTACTACAGTGTGGGGGTTTGGCACTTTGATCATGGAGCAAGTTACAGTGCGGTACTCTAAAGTACCATATGGGGGCATGGGCCTGCACAAGTACTTCCGTTTGCGTGCAAAGTCCCTCTGAGATATAGAGAACTTGGAAGTACGCCTCCATGCGTCCCTCATGCTTTGCCTACCATATTCCCTTCTTTCTTTACCATTGGAAGCATGGCATCAACTGATTTCTAGAGTGACAAATGACAGGGTAGTCTGCAAAAATCAATCACTGAATAAGTACCAAAACAGTAGGATTTAATTTCAGTAAAAGAAATATAAAGTAAACAGCTAGTGATACATTGAGTATGGGCTGGGTAGGTCACTTCCTTATCTTTTTCTTTATCCAACAGGGCTGACATAAGGAAACTGATGTATAGACTAGTATATGATAGTATAATAACAGAACACAAGGCAACAGGCTTTTGCCCAACCTTATAATTCCTGGATGAATTGACAGATAGTTCAAGAAACAACAACCGTACCAGAAAATATGAGTCTTTTGTCTCTGGCCTATGATTGCAACAGAGGCAAGCTAGAATTCAATCAGAAGGAGCCCTTCTTTGGTTGCTCTTCTACCTCCAAGTCTGAGATATCAGTGTTTGGTTATTTTCTCTCAGTATATGGAGCATGATCTAATGGGATTGAATGAATACATCTAAAAAAATATTCAACAAGAAAGCACCCATAAAGATGTAAAAAGTTACTCCACGTCCAAGTTCTCTGTTGAAAAATACATCTCGGGCATAGTAAGGGCATCAAAGTGATTGAGGTGTCCATCGATGAATGACAATGTAACTTACATGATAAATTCATTTTCAAAATATTGAGACAAGTTCTCAAGTTTGCAATAGTTCATAACTTACAGGATAAGATTACCAACAGAATGCTGATGATCATTTTCTGCATTACCTTACAAGTAGAAGCAATTTCTGTAAGCTTATTTGTTGTTCAAGTTCATATATAGATTGATTCTGCCATGCCACCTTTAATCATGTTTGATATGATAATCTGCATTTTCTTTAAACTTAATGTGTAACAGTTCTGTTTTTTTTCCTCGGCTCTCTTAATTGTTACTTCATTATGATAAATAGATGAACTTGCCAGAACAAAGCTGGTCAATTCAATGTTGATATCTGTGCTTGTCAAGCATGAACGAAAGGCAAATGCTTGCTCTATTTGCAGAAAAAGAACTGTTAAACCGACAAGGAATATTGTTATACGCATTAGTAGATGCATCAACCAACTTGTAACCTGCCAAAAAAGATACTAGCTTTAAATTAAGTCAAATGCTCAGGGGGCAGGGGTACTCAAGGAAAGATTGCAGAGAGGCAAAACCATAAAATCTGAAGCTGTGAGGAGTGCTGAAGGTCAACCTTTGAGAAATGAGGCTAAAGCTGTGTATCAGTGTATGCGCAAGAAAATCTTAATGTTATTGGTGTATCCACTGAAAAAGACTAACAAATCATGTATATATACTTCTATCGGGAAAAAAATGAGTGCTCTAGTTGTGGGGCTTCCTAGTCTAGCAGCCTCCGTTACAAGCTCACCAAATTATGCTCAAGATGTTTAGTGTCACCAAGCTGGAATGATGGATTAGACAAATGCCACCACGACACACAGTAATATTAAGGAGTGGTGAAGAATAGAATCAGCACTATAGAATTGAAATGTCAGGCTAAATCTGTTCTATCATCAATAATGAATAAAACCTATCGCATTACACTATGGAAAGAATATACATGCTGGCATCCCTATACATCTATACCTGGATACAGACTGTAAAATCCGCAGCAAAGACCATCAAACTGTAAACTGCCTTATTTTCATATTGTTCATTTGGATAGCTGGAATTAGTACATGAAGTCATCACTCATCAGAACAATTGGTTAATACACTGTCCATGCAACTTTAGCTAAAAACAAAAAAAAAAGTTGTCATGGTTACATAATGCTTATTACTACAGGTAATGTTTAAAGAACCAACAAGCCTAAGAGCACTTAGAATATACATATTTCAGTTATACCATTAGTGAGAGTAGATGCTAATACAAGAAGGCGCATCCATGTCACCATGTGTATGAGCAGTCCAAAAGGTAATTGTATTCAACTTTAGCTAGACTGACAAACGAATAGTGCATCCAAGTTATCTATCTTCATTTGAACTTAATCCGGGCCTTAATCAGGGGTGGAGGCAGGCCTAGGGCAGCTAGGGCTTGAGCCCTAGGCCTGCCTTCAAAAACTTGCTTAAATTTTATTGAGTAAATTGTTCAGAAAACTAATACTCCATTAGTCAAGCCTTACCTTAGCCCTAGTCTTATATAATTTCTGGCTCCGCCACTGGCCTTAATGGTACCATTGCTCATGAGTTCACAAGTTCTGTTTACAATGGAAGAGCTTAACAATGCACCACTGGATCAACAAGATGATATTTGTCATATTCTGTTACTTCCTGGATGAGAAGTTTTAGAACCATTCTGGGTAAATGCTATTTTGCTTTGAGGGATTTGTTTTTTATGGAGTCAGCAGACACAAATAGGATGAGAAAAGATCCTGATCACTAAGAGCTTTTACCACGTAGAAACTTTCTTTAAAATTGAGGTAATCCCATGCTTAAGGTCCAGCAGTACATTCCAAGCATTATTTAACCTAGTGTTCTGAAGAACATGTGCAAACTGAACTCTGAAGACAGATATGAATAACAAAAAATAGTAGACTGTAAACTAGCAAGCATATTTGTAGGTGAGCTAACATCTAGCTGAATTAACCAAAGCATGATTCATTATTATTAACGGAAGGTGCAAAAATTCAGCCTCCCCCTTCTCCATACCTATCAAAGGTTCACCTTATCACTACCTCAGCTAAGCTGATTTACCTGCTTTTATGGCAGAAGTAATAGCTGACTGCTGCCAGTTAGCTCCTAAAAATTTAGGAGAAACTCCAATACATTCAGCATCCCAAGAATTTTGTCATATTCCATCGTGCTCCAGATATCATTTATAACACTTTGCCTGAACAAAAACAGAGGGGGTCATTATCTTCAAGTTCTAAAGATTTTAAGAAAAAGGGATTTTGCTATCAGATACTTCTAAGGAAGCAAAACTAATAAGCCTTTCTGAGGCCCATGGGAGGTACTGTATAAACTATACCACGCGAGGTACAAAAAGAAAACTCAGAAATGACATGTTTGAACAATCCTACAAAGAAACACAACATGAGTCTAAACAAATAATCGAATAAATGGTGACTCTCAGTAAATTGAAAAATTGAGTACTATCGAAGTACACGGTAAATGCAGTTACTAATTACTATAAGTCCGCATCAGCATAGGTAATGGAAAAAGTATTTGTCTAGTCATCGATTCTGAAGCTTCAAGAAAGACATGAAACGGCATAGGAAAGTTATAGTGCTCTCAAGCTATAGTAGCTTTAGAATCTATATTGTCTGGGCAGTTTGAGATAAGTAATCATGACACCACTTAAGATTCCACTAAAAACGTTTTGAAATGGTTTAGCAGCGAAACATAACTGTATAACGAAAACAAAAAGGATAATGATAAGCTCAAATATATTTTTTCCCCCATCCATGAAGAAAACAAAGCTAATGAGAGTGTCTTTTCCATGATCAAGAAAAAATGTTGTCCTTTACCTGGGCTTCTGGACACTAGACAAGTACTACCCATCACCCCCCACGTCATCCAAGCCGCCTGATGAGGACCTGCATATATCATCCTTCAAGAGTTTTTGTTCCTAAATGAAGAATTGAAGATTAGACTGGTGTGTTTTCCTCACTAAACAGTACTCTCTCCGTTTCACAATGTAAGTTATTCTAGCATTTTCCATATTCGATGTTAACGAATCTAGATATATATATTTATCTAAATTCATTAACATCAATATGAATACGGGAAATACTAGAATGACTTATATTGTGAAATGGAGGAAGTAGTAGTCACCTAGTACCAGCTAGACCAACATATAGAGCCAAAATACGTGGCCTTTAACCATAGTTTGCAACATCCACACTCCTGCTCCATCGTTTTTTCCAAGATTGTCCCGTCAAATCAAACCGCTTGAATCATCAAAACCACAGAGAGTCTTACAAGCCGTTCGTGATGTTGCTGTTACGGCAGTTGGGCGGAGACGAAGATCCACGGAATATTATTACGGATTTAGACGACGAAAAAGAAAAACACAGCACGAGATCGAGATGGAGCCAACGGATCAAACCAACAGCCAAAGCGAAACCCAGAGACGAACAGTGCGTTTCGAACTTGGACGAATCCGCCGCGAATCGAGGGAGGTAACAACACCGGAAAAAATGGCCGGAATCGGGGAGAGGGCGAAGGCGAGGGGGGGAGATCGTCGCACCGCACGCACCAACCTTTGCGCCTTGGAGTTTGGAGCCATCGCGGCCTCGCCGGCTCCCGCTCCCTCTACGCCGCCGCCGCCGCCGCCTCGGCTCATCGCCGGCTCACCGCCGATTTGGATTTTTTTTTTTTTTTTTGCATTTTGAGGGAATCGAATGGTGCGCGCGTGTGGAGCGACTTGCGCTGCACGTGCGCGAGTTGGTGGGTTGGGTTGGTTTTAGGGTTTGACCGACCAACGCAAGCGGGCTGGGCCAATGAGGTGGTGCCACGTGGATCGGTCGTCGCGGTTGCGCCGCCAGGTGGAAGGTTTGGTCAATGGTAGTATTTGGCAGTAAAAAATGTGAAAACCAAACAGACATCAATGGTAGTGTATAGTACTTTTTTTTTCGAACACGCAGGAGATCAATGTACACGCATTTTACACACAAATACAGTTCAAAGGTATTTCTTGATTTTTTTATTATTTTTAATTTATTTTTCCGCAAATTTCTTCATAAACAATCACATAAGGTTTTTCAATTTATTGCTACGTACAAACAAAAGATTCGGATAAAAGGCTTGTTTGGCTTATTATTATGCTAAAATGATGATAATGTCAAAACCTATGCACATTTTGGTAGCATCAAATTTTTGACAACTAACCAAACTACTATTTAAAAGCGCCAACAATTTGATTGAGCAATCGTACTATAACGTCAGGGTCGAAATACAACGTACCGAAAGGGAACACAATATAACCATATTTAGTATCAATATATATGTTATGATTTATTCCCTAAAAAGTATGCTAAATTTGCGGAGTCTCCTAATAATCTAGTAATCTACTAACTCCGTCCCAAAATAAGTGCAGTCGTGGATATCCGTGTCCAACGTTTGACCGTCCGTCTTATTTGAAAATTTTGTGAAAAATTTAAAAATATTTAGTCACACATAAAGTACTATTCATGTTTTATCATCTAATAGTAATAAAAATACTAATCATAAAAAATTTTCAAATAAGACGAACGGTCAAACGTTAAACATAAATAGTGCAAAACTGCACTTATTTTGAGACCGGGGGGAGTACCATATAAGTGCTGGAGGGAGGAAAAAAATACAAAGAAATATTTAAATGGGAGCATCTTGCAGAAAGAAAAACAATGGGTAGCTCATGCGTGCAGAGGTGGACCACAGCTTACTATACTGAAGCCCTTGCAAAAAAATCCTCTTTTCTCATTGCGGGAACAAAATCTCACGTGCTACATGCCCCCACTATAGATCCCCAAGATTTCTTGCCTTGTTTTTCCCACGCAAAACGCAGCCCTCGAAAGCAAAGCTCACATACTGTACTAGCCAATGACATCTCACATGGCCTTTGCTTCAGAAGTGAGACCATTCAGTCACTACTCGCTGCTTGCTCATGCTTAGCCCCCAAATGGTCCAGAATCCAGTGAGCTCAGTAACAAGGGAAAAAAAATTACCACACATGTGTATATGTTTGTCGTATGGGGTTGTTGGTTTGATGCTTCATGTTGCCACGACTTCAGGGCATAGAGCAACGGATTGGGGGTCTCAACAAGTGCCCCCAAACCTTCACATAGGAAAAGACAATCGAAACTACCATCAAAGTTGTTAGACCATTCTTAGAGGGACTAAAACTTTTAAGTCCCTATCACATCGGATGTTTAAACAATAATTATAAATATTAAACGTAGACTATTAATAAAACTCATCTATAATCTTGGACTAATTCGCGAGACGAATCTATTGAGCCTAATTAATCTATGATTAGCCTATGTGATGCTACAGTAAACATTCTCTAATTATGGATTAATTAGGCTTAAAAATTTTGTCTCATGAATTAGCTTTTATTTATATAATTAGTTTTGTAAGTAGTCTATATTTAATACTCTAAATTAGTATCTAAATATAGAGACTAAAGTTAAGTCCTTGGATCCAAACACCACCTTATGTTCACTCCCCACGAAAAATAAAAATTGCTATGTTCACATTTGTAGGGGTAGCTTGGGTGGGCCCACAGTAGCAATCACTTTTCCATGCGGGTCTAATATCAAAATCACTTTCCCCATTCTTTCCCCACCTCTCTCTCTAGATCTCTCTCCTTTAGCAAATCGTTGCATCATGCCCGCATCACCGCCGCCCAACTCCGTTGCCTCTCGCCCTAACCTCTGCCTGCCTCCATCATATCTTGGCCCCGCTCGGGCCGACGAGCTGGTGGTGGATCGGGAGCCAAATTCTTCTCGGCGGCGGTCCTGCTCTCACCATCAGTGGTGTGCTCGACACATATCAAATCGATGGTGGCCCGAGCTGACGAGCTCCATGGAGGCAAGGGTGGTTGGGCTAACAGATGAGCTCAGCGCCAGTACGGATCTAGCCGCGAGGTGGTCAGATCCGATCGATTGTTGTTGGTCCTCTTGCTTGGCAATCAGCGGTAATCGGGGTCCTCTTGCTCATCGGCGGCAAGCCCTTTTGCCTCGTGCGACGAGATGATGAAAAGGTGCTCTCCCTTTCCCTCCTCTTTCTCCACCTGGATCGATGGATTATCACACGTGTTCCTCGCTTTTTCTCCCCAAGCCACTTTGCCTTCTATAGGTCATTATGCCACCCTACGAAGCCACTACTCCCATCCACCGTGGCAACTGAGCCTAGCTGGAGCTCGAAACCACGATATGCTTTCATGGCATTGGGGAATTCCCTTATACATGTGTTTGGTTGACTAGTACAGTCATAGGCTATCCATACTTTTCATTCTCATGGCACCACACGTCGAATGCTCACTTTTATAGCTAGGCTTGTCTAAAATGTGGTCGGATAGACACATTTGTCATGGCAAAATTATAATTTTCCTAAATTGTGGTTTGGCAAACACCTCGTAACTTACATGAGCATAAACCATTGCCGAGTTTGTAAGGGTGTATTCATCTTTCTAGCTATAGATGCTAAAAAAACAATTCATTTGTTTTTGCTTCGGTGTTTTTGTATCTCCTTGCACAAAGGAGTTGAGGCATAAAGGGTTCTCAATTACACATATGCGGATTCAGTGACGATCCGTTACTACAACAAAATGACACGGTGTATAAGGCAGGGGCTAGGAGTGAAAACATAAATTGTAGGGGTAGGCTGAATTGTAAGCAATTTAAGGAAATAGATTAAAACCCTGCCTCTACATCAAAACTAGATGTACACAACCCAGAATTATAAGCATATATAGCAAAGGTTTGCCGATAATATGATCGAGCCACACAATTTGCCTCAATAGGATATGGTAAACTTATAGAAACTCTACTTTGTCCTAGTTACACAAAACATAGACAAACGAAATTACATTTAGCATGTAAACAATATACACTTAATGCATCAGGGTGGGGATGGTGTTACGGTATGACCCGCTCAAGCTTAAGGAAATCGCCTTAATTTAGTTTGATATATTCATGTGGCTAGGTTATAGGCTCATGAGTGACGCGAAGCTTAAGGCCGACATCCAAATCTCTCCATTTTAGAACCAACATCACATGCACCAGGTATGTCTTATGACTTCTCTTATTTCCATATTGGTGATGTTCAATGAAATTAGTGAGGACCAATAAAATTTCTATTGAGAGACCAAAAGAATTATACTAGGTTATCTCAATGGTATTCATAAACAACTATAGTATATATAGTCTTTTAATCTCGTGGTACTTTTAACAACTAGAGTAGCCCATTTTAACCTCAAGGTGCTATTGCAATATTGAGAAACACATAGCTACTAGAGTAGTCTATTGATCACTAGTAAGCATGCACGTGAAATCCGCATTCAAAATGTGGTTGCCTCACAATTTTTCTGTGTAAAATGTGATTGCCTCACTTTTTTTTTAAAAAAAAATGTGTAAATAAGTATTTACCTCAAGTTGTGTAAAAAAATGTCCCCCCCAAAAAAATGTGTAAATAAGTATTTGCCTCACATTTTTGAAAGTTGTGTAAAAAAATGTGTTTCCCCCCACAAAAATGTGTAAAGTGTCCTAATAGTAATACTTTTTGCTTGATGCTCGAAGAAATCTTTAATGTCAAAAGCTCGTAGTAGCAGCAACGTTTAGAGGAGGCAAGAAAAATATTTTATATATGTTGTAATGCTTCTTTTTCAATAGGAAAAAAAATACGAATTACCCCACCCCCGAACTATGACGACGATATGAATTACCCCCATGAACCACAAAACCAGACATTTTATACCCTGAACTATCTATACCGAACGAATAACTCTCCTCGACACAATCCAAAGCGGTATTGTCCTACGTGGCGTGCGCGTGGCATTCCAATCAACATTTTTTTTAAAAAATGGTGGGGGCCCACCTGTCATACTCTCCCACCTCTCTCTCTTCCCACTTCCTCTCAATCTCTCTCTGTCTCAGATGTGGAGCGGTGAGTTGGTGGCCGGCGATGGGCGTGGCGGGGGCACAACGGCCGTGGTGGAGAGGCGGGCGGCATCCGGCGGACGGCGGCCGGAAAGCCACAGCGGTCGGCAGGCGGCGTCGCCCTTGCGCACCATCGGGAGCAGCTCCAGCTCCACGCATGCCACAGGCACCACGGGCACGGCGAGGCGCGATGTGGCGTTGGCGGCGGCGTTGTCGTCCACTTCCTTGCGCGGTCGAGCTCCAGCTCCACGTGCGCCCTCGCGGACTCCATCTCGACCACCTCCAGCGCGGGCTCCAGCTCCGCCACATCGCCCAGCCATCGTCGTACTCCTTCGCCTTCCTCCTCCACTCCCCAACGTGCTCGCCGCCGTCCATCAGCGTCGTCACCGCCTGCGCGACGTCACCCCGGGTGACCGCCATGCCCTCGTCGCCGAACAGCAGCACGGGCGTCGTCACGCCGACGGCGAGCCGATCGTTCAGGAACCGCTCGATCGGCACGCCGACGCTGACCGCAGCCGCCGCCGCTCGCCCAGCCGTGCCCGCAGCCACCGCCACTCGCCCAGCCGCGCTGGCAGCCGCCACCGCAGTCGCCTCCGCTCGCCCAGCCGCACCCGCAGCCGCCTCCACTCGCCCGTCGCCACGATGTCGTCGTCTGCTGCCCGCCCCTGTGCGCCGCAGTTCGCCGCCCGACCCTCCGCATCGCCGTTCGCCGCTCGCCACCGACGCCTCGCCGTGCGCATTGCCGACCTGCGTCCGTGAGAGAGAGAGAGATAGATTTAGGAAGAGGAGAACTATCAGGTGGGTCCACCAACTTTTTATTAAAAGAATTGCTGACTGGACTGCCACGTAGACCAAAATCACCACGGATTGGGTCGAGGGGGGTAATTCATCCGGTTTGCATAGTTGGGGGCTGAACAATGCCCGGTTTTGTGGTTCTAGGGGTATTTCGGTCGACCGCGATAGTTTCGGGGAGGGGGGGGGGCTAATTCGTATTTTTTCCTTTTCAATACCACACGTGGTGTTCTTTGGGCGTTCGGTAATTATGTTTAGATGTTTCACTAGTTCATTTGTTTCTTTTCAAATATTTGCGCGTGGTATTTTTAAGAATATTTTAGTTAGTATTCTACGATGTTGCAATTCTATACTACATTTGTTTTCTTAAAAAATATTTTAATTATTTGATAATTTGCTTAACTTCACTTTAGTAAATAATTTATCTTTAGTGAAATGAGGGCCTGTTTACATTCCTGACAAAATTTTTTACCCTGTTACATCGAATGTTTGACACATGCATGGAGTATTAAATATAGGGAAAAAAACTAATTACACAGATTGTGTAAATTGCGAGACAAATCTTTTAAGCCTAATTACTCCATGATCTGACAATGTGGTGTTACAGATTAATTAGGCTTAATAAATTCCTCTCGCAGTTTACAGGAGGCATCTATAATTTGTTTTGTTATTAGACTACGTTTAATACTTCAAATGTGTGTCTGTATATCTGTGACGCGGCAAAAATTTTTAGCGGCAAAAATTTTTACCCTTAGGGTGCGCTCTTTTCAGCTTATAGGATTAGATTCTCCTCGTTTTTCGTTAGCACGTTTTTCAAACTGCTAAACGGTATATTTTATGCGAAAACTTCCTATAAAGAAGTTGTTAAAAAAATCCAACAAATTTATTTATAATATATATATATTAATACGTAATTAATCATATGCTAATTGTATTTCTCGTTTTGCATGCGGCTAAACTGTCCACCGCCACTGCTGAAATGATCGCACCCTTATATGTAAACACAGCTTGAAACATTATAATCGTGTAGGAATTTAATTTGAATTCAAGTGTTAGAGATATCCATAATATAAGTTGTTTTTTTAACGGAGCCGGACCGCGATTTTTCCTACATGAACCACATCTAAGCTTTGACAGACAGAAAGAATCACACCCGTCCATCGTGGGATGGAGCGCTCTGACAATGCCCCCTCCCCTCCCGAAAGGCCCAAACACAACGAAACCACACGAGGATCCGAGAGCAAAAATTATCCAAAGTTGCAATCTCTCCATCACCATCACACAACACCGGTAGCGTAATAAAATCCTACTACTTCAGCAGCCAGCACCCGCCGGTGGAATCGCACCCAAAAGCTTCGCTCGTCGATCGCTACTAGTACCAGATCAGAATCATCCCAGCAGTAGCAGCAGTAGTAATCCACCCCCAATCCGTCCAACCCAACCAACCCTCTCCTTCCTCCCCTCGAATTCTCTTGCATCTCATCGTCTCCATCCCCGATCCCGATCTCCCCCCCCTCCTCCTCCTCCTTAATGTCTGGTTTAGCGTCAGATCGGCGCGTCGCTGCGGGTGGAGCAGCCCGATATTCCCGATCGCGCGTGGGCTCGCTGTTAATGGCGTCCACGGCGGCGGCGGCCAGCCGGCGAGAGTCGTCGGCGGCGTCGAGGACGTTGGTTTGGAGTTGGTGGCGAGGAGGACGAGGAGGAGGAGTCCTCGGTTTGCCCGCCCGTCCGCGCGAGCGATCCTGGCCGTTGATCGTGGGGCAGGGGGTATTCCCGTAAATAGCGTGGTGGGGCGAGGGGTAGTAAGGTAAATTGAGGTGGGGGGGGGGTGAGGTAGGAAGGTTTGTTTGCTTTGCTTGCGTTGCTGGTCAGCCGCCTGGTTGCCCTCGCTCTGATTTATCCTTCCCCTTTTTATTTTATTTTTTAATTACTAATTAATTAAAGAAAGGGGTGGTATTTTAATTCGGAATTTTGGGGAGGATTTATTTCTTTATTTTTTTTTGTGCGGGGGGAGCGGACGCAAGGATGCGGATCAATTGGGGTTAAGGGGCTGGGGTTGCGTCCGCTCTATCGTCTCACGTTGTCACAGGCCGCGGCCGCCTCCGTTTTCTCTCCTCTCCTCTCTTCTCCTCCCCACCTCTCCCCCCTCTCTCCTTCCTTCTCCCCTGCGCCGCGCCCGCCTCCGCCTCCGCCTCCGCCTCCACCGCCGCCGCCCTCCCTGCACGCAGATCAGGGCGCCTCTGCCTCCGCCCACGCCGCCGCAGACGCCTCGCCGACGTGGGGGGCTCTCGGCGCCGCCGCCTGCACCTCTGACTGCCTGCCTGACTCGACGCCTCGCATCTCCTCCGCCGCCTGTTCGACGGGTGGCGGTGAAGGGAAGGCTTGGACGAGTACGTCTCTGAGCGACCTGCGACGACCGACGAGCGCCGCCGCCGCCGCCACCGACTCTGCCGGGGACGGTTAGTCGTCGGCTCGTGGTACCCCGTGGCGAAGGCGGCCGTGGATTTCTGGTGGTTGGTTTTAATCGTGGGGGAGGCGTGTTTGGGTTTGTTGTAGGTAGCCCCGGGATAGGAGGAGGGAGGAGGCGCTGCCGAGTTGGCTTCTTCGCCGCGCGTATGTGATTTGAGGCGGCGGCCGGAGCTGGGGATTCGCGCGGGCTGGACGACGACGACGACGACGACCACCACGCCGTGGATGCCTCCGCCGCCGCCGGATCGGAGGGACTTCCTGTACAGGGATGGCCGCAGGCACGACGGCGACCCCCTCCCACCGCCAGCCCCCACGCCGCCGAGGTGGCGCGACTCGCCCTACCACCCGCCGCCGCCGCCACCGCCCCTCCGTGACCACTCGCGGCCCTCACCTCGCCGGACGCCGTCGTCGGCCTCCTCAGGTAGGCCGTTCGCTCACAAATCGTCAGATCTGATGCTGCCGCCACCTCCCCCGCCGCCGTGCACTTCTCCTCCATCTCTAATTCGCCGGAACCGCTCTGCTATTTCAGACGGCTATTACCGACAGGGCGGCGGCTCCTACGACCGCTCCTACCCCGATGAATCGCTCGGCTACACGCCGTCGCGCTCAGACCGGTACTGGCTGGACGACGACGGTGGCGGCGGCGGCTATAAGGGTTTCAGCCGGTACGGTGGTGGTGGTGGTGGTGGCAGCCGGAGGGACGGCCGTGACATGCGGGGTTCCTACCGGAGGTCGCCCTTTAGGGGATACGGGAGCGACTTCTCCAGAAACCACCAAGAACACCCGCCTCCGCCACTGAGGAGGTCGCCCCTGAGATCAGTTGCTGTACCGATGTCTTATGACCCTCCTGGTGATAGGGCTGATAGGGGGGATAGAGACCATCATCACCGTGTGACTCCTTGGCGGCCGCTGCGCCGGAGGGAGAGCAGATCTGATGCTGCAGACGCTGCTGGGGCTGGACCTGTGCCTGTTGGACAGGCCGCTGCAGCAGCGGCCTCAGAGAAGGACGTTTCAGCTCGGTCCTCAGCCGTCGCGGCTCCTCAGGTCTCTGAGGAGGAGGCACCAAGGAAGAAGCCTCGGCTTGGATGGGGGCAAGGTTTGGCCAAGTATGAGAAGCAGAAGGTGCAAGGACCTGCAGAGTCTGCTGAAGCTGTTGCCGAAGGCAGCCCAACTGCCACCGAACAAAAGGGAATCACCCATACACCAGCACCTGCGCCTTGTGTGTCCCCAGTGGCGGCACCATCACCCACGCCTTGTGCGTCCCCAGTGGCGGCACCATCACCCGCGCCTTGTGTGTCCCCAGTGGCGGCACCATCACCTGCACCGCCATGTAAATCACCAGGTATACAGCCCATTTTGACCTTGTTCTCCATGTTGAAACATAGTTGTTTGTACCCTTTCTTTTGTCCTGTCATTTTTCTCTTGCGTGTCCTTGTATATGAGCACAACTTAGTTTCATTAATTCTATACTGAGCTAATCTAGGTATCTGCCCTGTTCTATTGTTGAATGATCCAATCAGTTCTATTATTTGGATCTCACTCTCGCTAGGGATATTAGAGCCAATGTGTAGGAAACACTATTCGCGATTATTTGTTGAAGACAGTAGATACTATACAGAAAAAGAGTTTCTGCTTTGAATATCATGTTCGTGCTGCACAATTGCATTTTGTTATAGCTGTGCTACCAATTTACCACATAAATTGAAATGCCCTCAACAATACTTACATTGTCCTTGGATCTGCATTGATCCTGTCCCCTAATACTTGGCTTTATACACCTTCCCGTGATTTAGTTATATGAGATTACAATGGCATATTATTCCTGATTATTTCCTTTCTCTGTTGATCATGCTAACAATGCATTCATGTAATATACTGTGGAAGATCGAAAAGACAATCATGCTGAGTATTTTGCTTGCTGACTTTCTCCTTTACATGTTCCAACTGCAGTCCCTGAAGATAAATCCTGTGAACTGACAGCAAATACAGTCACTGAATCCAATAAAAATATCCCAGGACCTGACGTTCAGGCTTGCAATAACGAAGTCCCCACTAAGTTAGATCAGCTTGAGGGTGATCCCATTGATTCGCTTGCAAAGGTCCTTTCTGAACTGGTGCAACATGAAGATTCCTGTTCTGGGGATTCGAAAAGACTGTCCAATGTCAGTAAGTTATTGTTACTGAAGGAAAGCATTAGCAAAGAGCTCGAAAAGACAGAACTTGAGATTGACTCCTTGGAAGGTGAACTTAAATCTGTTAATGTGGAAGCCAGAAATAGAACACTCAAAGATCCACCTACAGCTGTAACTTATGCACAAAATCCTTCACCTTCACCTGTGAAAGAACAAGGAGAGCTGACCCCTTCTCCCAAGATTTCTATGGAGCAGGATGCTGATGTAAAAGGCTCAGAGCTCATGGAAATAGAGACAGCTCAAGCTCATAATGCAAAAGCAGTTTCTTCAGAAGAGAGTGTTGCTTGTCCTGGAGTTGCTCTGGGTCAGGTCCCTGCCGCTGCTGATGTTATCCCATCTGATCCATGTGGGAAAACTGGTTCTGGAATTGATGTCGATATTGAGCAGCGCGAAGAGAATCCATGCCAAGAAACTTTTAATGCCATGAAAGCAGATGGAAGCAGTGACTTGGCCACAAGGCCTTGCTCTTATCGTGAAGTTAAATATAACTTAATGGATCAAATTATTGCTGCGAACAGGAGTGAAGCCAAAAAAAATTCTCAATTACTATTTAAGCCTGTGCCAGCTGATCGGTCCAATCTTGATTTATTGGCATCAAGCTATCTTTCTAGCCAAATGAAGAATGATGTAATTATCAAGAAGAAGCATGCCATACTTAAAAATCGACAAAGATTCAAAGAGCAGATTCTTACCTTCAAGTTCAGGGTGCTGCGTCACCTCTGGAAGGAGGATGTGCGACTTCTTTCTGTAAGAAAGCAGCGCTCTAAGTCTCATAAGCGCACAGACCAGAGCAACCGATCATCACAGAGCGGATCTCAGAGGCAACGGTCCTCTAATCGCTCCAGATTGGCTGTACCAGGTTAGAGTTTCATTTCACTAGTTAATAATTGCCAGTTCAAAATGTTTTCTCCTGCCCTTTAATATTTGTGCACAGCTGCTGCTTAAAATTTTACTTGCTTTCATGTGATGTGGTGCCAACTTCCATGAAGTTGAAATTGTTAATGTTCCAGTAAATTATGCAGCAAGGTGGTTAGCAAAAACATGGTACTTTTTACACTTTGGCCTCCATGTCGCCTGCCATTTTTTGTTGTCAGATTTTGCTAGTCTACCCGCCTTTCGGGTTTGAACTTGTCAAACATTTTACCTGGCTTGTTTGTTTGTAACAAACACAGCAAAAAGTTATGGACATAAACCGCTTCAACAAGGATATGTTGTCAACTATGGGAGTTTTATTGAATTGCCGCTGTACCATAAGAATGTTGATCGAGTCATTTCTTGTCCCTGAGAGGAAAAACTAAAGTTTGTGTGTGTGTACATATTCTCTATCGTTTTATAGTCATGAATAAGTTGGCACAGAATGTACTGTGCTTTTTGGCTAGCTTGTAATGACCGCATTAGGCTGGAAAATGTATTCAAGGATGACTATATTGCATTAGACTTAGTCTAGACATGGTTGTAGTAATAGAGAAGTGGAACAAGGTAGTTTTTATTATGGCAGTATTTGTTTGTTGGATATAACCTAGACATATCTGCACCAGTTACTTTTTGCAAATGTTATATCTGATTTTTATATGTAAGACTAAAGTTTTTGTTGGCTAATTCTGTAGTTCTTGCTATCTTCCTTGCTAAACAGTTTTCTTGTGATCCTCTATTTGATTATGTTTTTTTTTTCTGATGCAGCTGGTAATTTAAGCACATTTCCTATCACAGAAATGTCAGGTGTAGCAAGGAAGCTGTTTTCAGAATTTCAGCTCAAGCGTTGCAGAAATTACTTGAAAATGCCTGCACTGATTGTTGACGAAAAAGAGAAGGCAGGTGCTAAGTTTGTGAGCAAGAACGGTTTAGTTGAGGATCCTGTTTCAGTTGAGAAGGAGCGAGCTTTGATAAATCCATGGATTCAGGAGGAAAAGGAAATTTTTATGGAGAAACTTGCAACATTTGGTAAGGATTTCTCCAAAATATCCAGTTTCCTTCAGCACAAGACAACTGCTGATTGTATTGAGTTCTACTACAAGCACCATAAATCTGATAGTTTCCGAGAAGTTAAGAAACTTCTTGATCTTCGGCAGCAACAGCAACCTGCCAACAATTACCTAGGAGCAGTATCTGGAAAGAAATGGAATCCTGAGGCAAATGCGGCATCACTTGATATGCTTGGGGTGGCCACAGAGGTGGCAGCCCAAGGCCTTGAATATGTGAATGAAGTGAAGAAAAATTCTGCGAAATCTATCCTGAGGACTGTTTGTGGTGTTGATAATTCTACCAAAGGATCCGAGAAGGATTGTGTTGGGGATGTTTCTTTGCACGAGAGAGAATCTGTAGCTGCTGATGTCTTGGCAGGCATATGTGGAACTCTCTCCCCAGAAGGCATGGGCTCATGCATTACCAGTTCTGCTGATCCTGGCCAGAAGATAGGGATCATCTCAAGAATGGAGCATCTTTTAACTCCTGAAGCAGATAAAAACTTTGATGATGACGGCACTCTCTCAGATCAGGAGTGTGAAGTTGACATAGTTGATTGGAATGATGATGAGAAGTCAAGTTTTATTGAGGCTATGAATAGATATGGGAAGGATTTCGCTCGAATTTCGTCATACGTGAAGAGCAAGTCATTTGAACAATGCAAGGTTTTTTTCAGCAAGGCTCGGAAATCACTTGGTTTGGATCTGATCCATCAAGGTGCTGCTGATGCTGGTTTCCCTACAGGTGATGCCAATGGAGGAAGGAGTGGTACAGATGGAGCCTGTATTGCTGAGATGGATTCAGCTATCTGTAGTGCACAGTCATGTCCTAAAGTGGAGATAGATGCATGTCCTGTTTCTGATGGAGAAATTCAAGGACATAATCCTCTTTCTGATATTGCCTCTAGGCAGCCAGAAGCTGACAAATCAAACATGCCTGATGTTGTGGACATAAATGTCGAGGAAGGTGAAAGCAAAGCAGAAAAAGACTGCAGCATTCTTGTTGATCATAAACAGTTACGTGAAGACATTAATCAAACATCATGTGCTCGTATCGACATCAACTGTCCTGAGAGCACAGATAAGCTGCAAGACATAGAGGATGTAACACCAGTGAACATGCATGGAGATGATCTCATGGCCACTTCAGTTGAACAGGTTGCGGCAGCGCATGTGGAAAGTAGATCCAGTTTACATTCTGAAGGGATTGGCATTGATGTTTCCAGGATCGAAGGATGTTCACATGAGAGTACAATTGGTAAAGGTGGAAAATCAACACCGTCTGTTTGCTTGCCTGCAGAAAATGGGGTTAGTAAGGAAAATATCATCCACTTCTCGAACATGGATGGTGCTTCCTCCATTAGTCCTGCATTTACTTCAAATTATCAGCAAAGTAAGCTGGCAGATCCAATCCAATCAAAACCGAAGCCCCTTACCCCAAAGGATTTAATGCCTGTCCAATTTAGTTCGTCGCTGCCTGATCCTACCTCAATCTGTTTTGAGGGTATAGCTGCCATAACTACACCCAATTTTGAGGATCATGGCAACAGAGCCAGCATTGCTTCAGGGGCAAAAGATGTGAACATGTTCCCAACATTTAAAGACCAGTCCAGTAATCGTCATGATGCACTGTTTTCTAATGTCGATGGGTACATGCAACAGAGACGAAATAATCACTTTGGAACTGAAGTATGTGGCTTATCTGAAAGCACAGGCATTTCCCAGTCGGACCAGTTCACAGTATCGAAATTCCAGAATGGCAGGCCCAGCAGCTTGGGCCTTTCGAATGGAAATCTTGGGGTTCTATCGACTGGGAGAAGAGAGGAAGCACGTGAAGGCTTGTTTAGGCCTTGTTCTGTCAAGACAAGTGCTGGGAATGAGGAGCAGCAAAAGCGGCCTGGTGATGTCAAGTTGTTTGGGCAAATTCTTAGCCATCAATCATCCTTGCAAAGCTCTGGTTCATCAGTTCATGGAAGCAAAAGCAAGCCCCCCTCACCAAAGGTTGATAAGCCAGCTTCTTCTAGGTTGTTGAGTAATCCAAGGGAACGCCTGGTTTATTCTTCCAGGCCTCCAATCATTGCTAACTTGGGGCTAGAGGAGAGAGCGATGAGGAGTTTTGACCATATGGATGGGCGAACAATACAGCCTGAGCCTATGGTTATGGTGGCAAAGTGTCAGAGACCGTCAGCTGGTGTACCAGTTTACTCAACCAAAAATGGCGCGCTCAGCGTGTTTGCGGAATTTCAGCAACCTTCAATGCCGCCACATACATCAGATCACAAACTACTAGAAAACTTTGCCGATCTTCATAAGAGGAATGGAATCGAACTCCTTTCGGGGTTCCAGCAGCCTGGGAGGCTTGGGGGTGCTGGGGTCCTGGTTAGCGGTGTATCTGACCCTGTGGCTGCTCTCAAGGCACAGTACGGCTCTGGTTCGAAGATGTTGAGCAGCAGCAACGACGTGGATACATGGAAAGACATAGGAAGCAGGTAGCGTCTGTAGTGTTGGTAGCGGCAATAGTGCAATGCTTTCTTGCTCTCTGTATCATACTTAGTTTTTGTAACTTGGGATGAAACTAAACATGGGAAAGTGAATGGCTTTCCTGTCCATATTGTTGTAGGATTTGCAGTAGAAGTTCGTTTAAATTTATCGCTGGTATTAACTTTTTGTACCTTTCTTTTTTGCTGCAGCCGCTCCATACTTGATAGTTTTTACCTGTTAACAGTGATGTAGGTTTTGCTAGAGGTGTTGGTCATGCTGTCCGCTGGCTGACAAGGATGTTTGTTGGTATGTCTATCAGTATTTATGCAGAAACCTCACACAGATCATTGTAATGTGGTAATGATTCCTAACTGAGTTTACTCCTTTGCCTGCTGGAGTTTTGGTGAAATGATTCCATTGTCTTGTTTGTATTGTTATTGCTGTGGAGTACATTGCCAAGGCCTTTATCATCTGTATACAACCTGCTTCCATGTCGTATGTGTTTTTTAACTCTTCTTTCTGGCTATCTATATTACTGTATGCTAGTATTGTGCAGTTCAATCAGGTCGGATTTGTTTCGATTTAGGCGCACGTGAAGGTGCCGCTTTCCCTATGTTACTGATTTATTTAATTTCTTCTTGTTTCTATACATATCAGATCTTGTAGTTTCTTTTCACGAGTTCATTGTGATGTCTCGGCTTTTCTAGCTAAGCTCGTCGTCGGGGTTGTCCTGTCTGCTGGTTTGGTAGACAGAGGAGCAGAAATATAGGGCTTGCTTTTTTTAATGTCAAAATGAACTTTATTATAATTTGGTAAGACGTTACTAATATTTTGGTATTATTTTTATGAATGGAAACATTGAGAATTATCAAATTTTGATAGAATACTGTTGGTAACATCATGTCTAGTTTGTTACCCTATCAAGACTAAAACTAAGTAACGTTAAAATTTAGTAGGGTTTAAAATAGCAATAAAATGAACCAGTCTCTAGTCCTTTTTCCCATTTCGATATGAGATGAGATGAGGAGTGCAGAGTTGTGGACTGGAAGAGAGGGGAGGCATGGGGACAAAGAAGGCTCTAGTAGTCACGTAAAGTGTTAGATGCGCCACACAGCCTACATGACAGCGACTCGCCGCCTTCACTGATTCGTGATCGTTAACCAAAAGGAAATACGAGCACCGATCATTTATGCTACGCCCGTAGGATCAAGTTCAACAGCTTGGTGTAATAAGACTTTCTTTTTTTCTTTTTAACCTTGACCTTTACTGGCATTTTTCAGTCATCAACTACTAGTACTTTTCAATTTTCCTACCTGACTTATACTACGTATAATTTCCTAATTAATCTCATGAAATTAATGAAAGGAAAAAATACAAATAAAATAGTAAAATACAGTAAACGAAACTCTTTGCCGTAGTAGTATTGGAAATAATAATTAATCATATAATCACTGTATTTTCTTTTTCCAATTTCCCTCCAAAATTTGCCGGGCCATTTAACTATTTGTGTTACTCTTAGATTTAACATTTAACTATTTATCACCAATGTATCAATGATATGTGAGCTCTCATGTATCAATGACATGCGGGTCCGAGTGAAAAATCATTAATTGCCATATTTAGTGCTACTACTATGAATTTGGATAGATTGCTATATTTAGGGAGGAAATAATTTTTCCGAATTTAGTCGCCGCAGTCGAGTCATTGGGCCGGGCCCATATCTTTCTTCTAAAACGCAAGCGGCCCAACACAACTCCCGGCCCATCTAAGCAGCATGCCACGCTGCTACACCTTCTCCCTCTCCGCGAAAAACCCTAGCCCACCAAAAACCTTCTAGAACCTTTTCTCCCATGGCGCTCCTCCGAGCTCTCCGGCGAGCCCTCCCGCCGCTATCCTCCGCGGCGGCGGGGGTTCTCCTCCGGGGCGCGACGCGTCATGCTGCTCCTCTCCCCCTTCGTCCCCCGCCTCTTCTTCGGCTGCTGGATCCGATCGGGCTCCGCCCATTCTCCGCCGCCGCCGCCACCGCGTCGCAGGCGCCGTCCATGGGGGCCGGCCTCTTCAGCGGGCTCATGGACACCCGGTTCCCGAAGCGGCGGCCCGGGTTCAAGTCCCGGCGGAAGAGGGCCAGCCTCCGCCCCAAAGGTGCGCCTCCGATCTCTCGTCCTCCTCTTGTTTGCTAATAGTAGTTGAAAATGGTGTGATCCGAGTGATCCTTGCGGTTTCTTCCCCCACAATTTCTGCGTCTCTTACCGCGCGATCCTTCGGTTTGTTCGATTGTGCGATGTATGGGTGATGGGTGGATGCTGGTTATGCTGATTGTTGTAGCATTTCGCGACAGGTCCGTACTACTGGGTGAAGTGCAAGCCTGGGGAGCCTATCCCGGCGAACCAGCCGAATGAAGGCAGTGTGCAGGGAAGGAAGGAAAAGAAGAGGATCAAGCAGCGCAAGGCCTTTATCATGGTGCGCATTCCTTTTCTGTTATCTGCGTGCGTGCTCGTATGTTGTCCTGTTGATGTTGTTGTAGGAGTAGTGGCAGGTTCCTTGATTTTGCTATTGATCATCCTACAATCAATATGTCATCCTTGGTCTAGTGTTAGGCTTGAAATGCTTTCTTAACTAGTCAACAAAGTCTTGATAGTGCTCTAGTTGTCACGCCTCGGCAAAATGTTGGTAGTGGTGGATGGATGCACATTACTCTAGTTCTCGTGCCACCGAGCAGTAGCAGGCTACCATAGTCTGAAATACCATGATGGAACTGGACAAGCTAATTATTGTTACTGTGCGTAGGTAATTTCTATGGTGTTCAGCAATGTTTAAATCCATATCCATATGCATGTTTTTGCTGTTCTTGCTCTTCTAGTGACTCTTTATTCCTCTTCCACAATTCAAATTATGTTAGTTTTAACTGTGCTATTTTTTATTGACATTTATAGCCCAAAAGTATTCAAAACGGATCTTTTGTGATGTTGCTGGACACATATGCCTAACTACTTGGATCTTCATCCTATCAAATTACTTGTATCTCAGCTCAATTTCAATGTCAATAATAACATTCCATTTATTTCTAATCAATTGGTTGTGATCATATCTGTTGTTTGTCCAGGCTGAAAAAAAGAAGCGCAAAGCACAATATTCTGCTGCTGTTAAGAGAAAGGAAGCAGAAAGGACAGAAAGGAAGATGGCTGCAGTGGCCAGAGAGCGGGCATGGACTGAAAGGTTGGCTGATCTTAAACGGATTGAAGAAGAGATGAAACCTGCGACGGCTTAAGTAGCTCCCTCGAAAATGGCAAGAAATCTAACCCGCTTCTTCTGCTGCGTTTTGTCCCTGTTATTTTGGATGACATATATGTTCTGTGCTATTCATGGATGTAAAAATCCTTTGATGGGACATTAGTTGTACCGCTTCTATCAACAGTATTCTCAAATTTTTGTTCCCTGTATTGGAGTATCTGTTCTATGTTGTATCTAAAATAAAAGATGTGATTTTCGTTTTGTGCCAGAGGCCAGGAATGGCCAACATGGCAACATCTGCAACCTACAATTTTCAGTGCATTTATGTTACAGAATTTCGGAAGAAGCCATTATAGTAATAACTGCCAACAACTGTTTTTGTTCTGTTAATCTTCACCCCTTCCCTATGTATTCCCTGAGTGGCTGAGTCCTGATATCTTGGAAGAATAGAGCAGTTTTGTTGGATTGCAAGCTTAATTAAGGTAGAACCTCTACTTCATTATGCATGAAGTAAATCCATGCTGGTGTTCCATGATCTCGAGCTGTCAGAAGTAGTCACTAATCCCTATTTATTTGCCAGACATCAACTGCAGTATTCTACTTTTTTTTATCCATGGTACAGCCAATTCCAAACTCCAGATTTAGCTACTTAGCAATTGTGTTCTACAGTTGCATTTGTGTCCATATGTTAATCCCTTTTGATAGTCCTTACAGCTACAAGTTCAAAACCTACTGTTGCTTTTCACTTTTCAGTTATGTGCTATCTTCTTGAATCCTGTGATAGTGTTGTTTCTAGGAATTTGAGGACACATGAATAGGACTGTGTAGGCTAAGCTGGAAGTTTTGAGCTGCAATGGATTGTAGTCATTTGTACTTCAAAGCACGGGTCTGCTTGTTTAGGAATCAGTAGTCTCTCGTTGGACTCACCTGTTACTGAAGGTCTTCATGGGTTGCAGAGATGTGCATATATTCATGTTGTTTATTTCTTTCAACATGTTGTAGAATTTGGTCAGTCTTTCCAGAGTTCCTTGATAGAAGATCCTGAGCTGTCATCATGACATGGACAGTGGATACTTTGCTTCCGAAATGTAGGTTGTTTCATACACGTAAGACATCTGCTGTAGAAGCTTTGCATATCTTTTGTGATCTGCGGATCATCCTGATTAGGTACAATTGCTGCCTATCTACAGAAGATAAAATTCCCACTTGGACTTGTAAAGGTTTAGGGTGAACATTTTCTGTGGTAATTGATACAATCAATGATCACCACCTCATTCCTCACTGTCACATTGACTGTGCTTGTCATCAGATTCTTATGTTCTTTTTATCAGTTTTATCCTTACTCATTACACATATTTTTTTAGTACCTATTAATTATGAACTCGCCATCTGAAATATTGTTTGTCCTATATTCAGAGGCTGGAAACATTTCAGTAGTCTAAACTGGTTTATCATAGATAGATAACCTAGATATATTTACATTCACGTTACTACATTGAAGAAAATTATGCTACACAAGCAAGGATGATTTTTTTTTAACATCGAATTGCATTAAAATATCTTGAGCACTGAAGAGTCCCTTATCAACTTACTAGTGAAAGATAAAGCGCCTATTTCCCCCTTAGTTATCAACTACAATTTCTACATAATGAGAAAAATATATGAGCTACCATACTGAAAAGGCCTAGATAAACCTCTTTGCTTTATCATCTGCTGAGTGCTACTTTGCATTTCCCAAATATGTACAACAGCTTAATTATTCGCACTGAAGGAAGATGTACATATGAAAACCCAGAGAGTTGAAGACTTTCAGATGTTCAGAGTACAATATTGAGGAACGAATCAACTCTCAACTATTTTAATTTTCTTGGGCAAGATCAAAATATCATACAAGGGTAGAATACAAATAGCTAGCCTAGTAGAGCTGTTCTCTCCTATCACGCCACCATCGCCACCTGCAACAAAATTTAAGCCATAAAGCAATGTTAATCATCACAGAGAAGACATCAGAGTAAAAAGAGTTAGTAGTACACTGCAAGAACTCTGCTAGTACTTCAGAAGCACAACCGTAAATTTCATCATCAGAATATATATCTAGTTTCATTGTAAGAAATGTACTACTACTGGTACCGCAGAAGCTTAATCATGCAATTGAAAAAAAAAGAACAGTTTTTTCCCAAATAAAGTTCTTGCTTTTTGAAGAGAAAAACAGAACTGTTCCTTGGCAATTGAATGATCCATTTTGTTTTCAGATTATCGTCAACCATAAACCCATCAGTTCTTAATACCTAGCTTAAGTGCTTAACCAGGCATGCACCAATGCGTTTCTCAACACTTCTAAAACACATATGAGGTAAAATGCAAGACAAAAATAAAACAAGAGAGTGGGAGGCAACAAGAAAAAAAAATCAGGGCATAATCAACATGCAAGCAAAAGCAACAAGAAGAGGAAGAAAGAACAAAAAAAGAAAACGAAATTCTGGTGAAAACAGCTAGTAGTAGCTAGAAAGCACTAAGAGTTTGTCAGCACTGAACAATTAAACCAACCCCAAACACAAATGAGGTAAAAATTAGAATGCAACCAAAAACAAAACATCCAAGCAAAGCAAAACAACATCAACAACAACTAGAAGAAAGAACAAGATAATTTTTTTTTCAAAGAGAAGAAGAACACATCAAGTATATTAAAAACAAAAGCCTAATTAATTAAGAGTACCAGTAGTAGTCCCATCGGGGGTGGATCTTGTGCATGCGGTTTACCCCGTAAGGGTACTCGGAGACGGAGCGGCGGGCGTTCCTGAAGGCGCAGCAGCCGCAGGCGCAGATGCAGATGAGCACCACCAGCACCATGACGTTGAGCACCGAGATCTTGTGCCAATCCTCCCTCACCTTCTCCATCACCCCGGCCCTGCACGACTCGCACCCGTAGCACAGTATCCCCGCCGCGTTGTTCCACCGGAAGCAGTCCTCGTCCTGCGCTCCGACGGCCACCCCGCCGCTGTACGCGCACGCCGTCGGCGGCTTGCAGCACCCCGACTATTATGGATACAATACAATTAATCATCTTGAGTAGTTCTTGAGCTGTATGATGCATAATCTTTGATAGATGAAGAATTGATGATGTTCTGATGAAGGTTATATATATGTGTGTATGCAAACAATCATCTCATTTTGAGTTGTTGGGAGCTGTAGTGTAATCTCTGATGAAGAAAAGATGATGGTTTGATGAAGATATATATATGTGAAAAAAAATCATCTCATTTTGAGTTGTTGATGAGCTGTAGTATTATCTTTGATGAAGAAAAGTTGATGATGTTTTGGGATGAAGGTATATGCAAATGCAAACAGAATCATCTCATTTTGAGTTCTTTGAGCTGTATAGTATAATAATCTTTGATGAAGAAAAAAATATCCATCAGTTTTTGTTACCTGGATTGGGGTGAGATCATGCTGGAGGTAATCCATGGGTGACCAATTGGCGATCTTGGGGCAAGCCTTGGATCCAACGACGCATGCGAGCGCGGGGCGCCAGTATTTGGCGTCCTGGATGTGCTTCTGCAGCCAGGACGAGTAGTCGGAGGTGTGGTACTCGCGGTAGGGGCGGCCGGGGACCTGGGTGCCGCCGCCGCCGGCGGTGACGGCGAAGCCGAAGGCGGTGAGGCCGAGGAGGAAGGCGATGAGGAGCATCATGGCGAGGAGGTAGAGCCACAGCGCCCACGCCACGTGGAAGCAGGCGCCCACGAAGCCGGCGAGGGAGACGAGGAGGACGACGAAGCCGATCACCAGCAGCGGCGTCTGCAGCATCGACGAGCACGTCGCCGTCGACCCCTTCGCCATCCACAGCCCCGCCCCGATCACCGGGATCGACGCCAGCAGCGTCGCCAGGTTCAGGTATCCGATCATCACGTTGCTGAATCTGTAAGGATACATATCTTTGATTTCTTGATTGAAATCAACAAGTTCTTGCTCTTTCTGAATCTTCAGAACAAGAGCTTCTTGTGTTCACTGCACTGGACTTGGGCTTATTATATGAAATGAGATGGCTATCTATCTAAATATATATATGTAACTATGCTGTTCTTGCTGAGATTGCTTCACTTGTACTGAGTACTGACTGATTGGTGAGGAGGTGTTCTTCTTGTTCTTGCTTTGGGGTGATCAGGTCTGGTGCAAGCAAGCTGCTTTTCTTATCACCATGGACTAGCTTTTCATCCTGATGACTCTGCATGTGTCCCTGCAAGGTGTGTATTCTAATGCCCACCTTTGCTTGCTTTGTGGCTGCCTGCTTGTCTTTAATAATGCTGCTGCCTTGATTGTTTTGGAAAATCTAGCTAAGCCTCCTCCTTTTTCTCCTATCTTGTTCATTGTTAAATCTTTCAAACTTTAGCTTTCAGAGGCGCCTAATCCATCCTTACATGTGTGTGATTATTTCAAGGCATTTCCGCGTAATCCGCCTTAGCGCTTTGTTTCTTTGCTTTTATATACCCAACAAATTAAAGAACTAAAATATGTAGCATGTAGCATTATTCTGAAGCTTTCTGTAGCTCAACAGTTTTAAGAATTTAAGCACACCAGAGCTAAGGTCACTAGAGCCCTTGAACACCAAACAAGGATACTGTCATGATTTGGCCAGAACTCATATGCTCTTTTCAGTTCCACTTGCTACTGGTCTTCCTGTTCCATGGAATAAGAATAAAACATCCACTTCATATGCTTCTTGGGTATTGATTCTGTGTGATAAAGCACTAGAATAATACAATTATGGTGTGTGATTGTTGGCTAGTGTGGATGCCTTAGCCTCCATCCTGATGCTTAACCATGAAGGGAAAAAAAATGAAATTGGGATTCTTGGGCTTGCAAGGATAAGGAGGAGGCACAGGCAAATGCCTTTAGTTTCTTCACAAGTGCATCAAGCAATATTAGCTTTATGGCCATATCACACTGGTATCATCACTTTGCAAGTAAAGAAGGGCCCTAGTTGAGTTGCCATAGAATCAGTGGCAAATAAAAAGAGTACCCCATCTTATGCATATTGCTTTTTTTTTTCCTCCTCTGCTCTCACCTTTTGGTCCTTTTCATCAGGATGCCATGGCCAATCAGGTCAAGCCGATTGGGATTTGTTCAAAATGACAAATGTGGCACCGTTACACGCGAAGAATTTTTTATTTTTCAGTGATTTGAATAATAACAATGGTGGTCTGGTTTACTTAGATGCTTGCTTGCTTTCTTTCCTTCGCTTTTTCTTTGCTTTTCTCTGGGTTTTGATATGAAGGAATGTTGTAATGCTTGGTAGACAGAAAGCACACAAGGCACTGGAATAATCCAAAACATTCAGTAGCTAGCTGTAGTAATGATATTATTGTTTGACATATGATTGCCATTGAAAATACAAGGGTTTAGGCTAATGATCTTTTTGGTTAAGTCTCACTTTTTTTTCTTTGTCAGATTTGCTTGTTTTGATATCTTGATTCTGAGATACAGTTGCCTTGGTGATTCGCTACAGTCTTCAATGTTAAGTTAGCATCTCAACTAGCCTGAAAAACTGAAATACACAAATGTGGTGAAGGGATTGGGCTGAAGATTTGGACAGAAAATAATTTTTTAATTATCTAGTGAAAGTGTTTACCTTTTTCATGAACAGGTAGATAGTTTGATGCAGTGCAAAGTTCTGGAGGCAATGATTCTCTTGTGATTGCATTTGCAGTTGCATATCTGCATCCATTGCTGACATGAGAGGAGTAGTGGTGAGGAAAAAGGGGAAAGCTATCTGGTGGACACTGGGCAAAGCTCAGCAGGTTCTTGGACTTGGTCATGAAGGAAGAGAAAAATGATTCACTAATTAACATCCATATGAATTGGACATATACATGGATCTATGCATGAATATATTCAAAACCTAAAACATCTTATAATATAAATGGAACGGATGGAGTAGATTAATTGCTCCCTTTTTTAGAGAAAGGGGTAAAAGAAAGGATCTCCTAGCCCAAGTGAAAAATGTTTCGTCTTCTGTCGTTGCCTCATCATCGTGTAAGTTTTATATTAAAATAAGTTTATAAAATCTACTCCCTCCATTCCAACATATGTCCTATTAAGTTTCTACGGTGTCCCCATTATATTGTGATTATTTTTTTCATAATATGTTATCAACAACTACAAAATTAACATCATATGAAAATATTTTTAAATACAAGTCTCATATATGACAATAAACACATATTTTTTAGTTTAATTATTAGTCATTTTTTTTGAACGAACCGACACAAGATAGTGCCAATTTCATTGAATAGTATATGAGAAAAAAACTGTACAAGTATATGGATTTTTTTTAAAAGGAAAAAACGCGAGTCCTAAGGGACTAGGCTACAAGGCCTCTGCTCCTGCCAAGATCCAAGTTTTTGCCTCCTCTCTGATCTATTAGATTTGTTGCCAATAGCTCTTTGTGTCTGAACATCCGCTGATTTCGCTCTTTTCATATTTCCCGAGTCAAATTTTTAAATATTGATTTTGTGAAAACACTGACATATTATATTTTTATAGAGGGAGGGAGTAAATACAGTACTTTTGCAAGGGGTACCAAATTACATGTACCAAATTTGTTTTTCAGACTAAGCAATGAGAAATCATCGATGATCAAAGTACAAAGGGACCACCTATACATTTGTCGACAAATTTTCTACTAAAATCTTGACAGATGTAATTATAGTACAATCGTAGTGTAATTACAATATAACTTGTATATAATTACACTGTAACTTGCATGTAACTATAGTGTAACTTGTATGTAAGTTTCACGTAATTTTGAATCGTTAGATCTATTACAAGATTTGTTCTATGGAGGAAAAAAAAATCACATCACACACATATATGAGAGAATTTGTTCCCACGACCTCTATTTTATTGAAATAACATGTTACCGAGAGATTCTTGAAAGTTATATACAAGTTACATTATAGTTACAGTGTAATTACATGCAAGTTACAGTGTAATTACACTACGATTATACTGTAATTACATCTGACAAATATTAGGGGGAGAAATTTGATGACAAATATCTAGCAAAATCGAGTACAAAAAGTTTGACAAGATCTTATCAAAAACGTCAAATATAGATTATAACTGGGGTATGGAAGTACTTAAATTAAATGTAGATCATAAACAATGCTGTTATATATCTCATGAACAAATTAAGCTAGACGAAGTTTAGAGCACGGATTTGACGCTTCTAATGCCATCGTCGTCGAGCTCGGCGTAACGCCTCGACTTGTGCTTGATCATACGGAGCCCTTCCTTCCGATGATCGCCTGATCCGCCGCCATCGCCGGTCGCCGTCGCCGGAGCCGGAGGCAGCACCTCCAGTCCGGTGAACACCGGGAAGGTGATGTCCTCGACGTGGTCGTTCATGATGTTGTCATCGGTTCGCGCGAGCTGGAAGAACCTGGCGATGCAGAACCTGCCGGAGCCGAGGACGACGAGGTGGGAGCCCCAGCTCGGCTCCCACTCCTCCGGCAGGTCAAGGTCCTCCCAGATGTACCCCGGCGACGGCGGCTCGCCCCTCGCGACGGGGGAGAGGTCGGCGGCGCACGGGGAGCACTCGCCCTTGGCTGCTATGCCGAACCAGAGCTTCAGCTCCGGGACGTACTCCGCCTTGCCGGCGAACGGCAGCGCCCACTCGCCGGCGCGGCTCCAGCTCCGGCTCGCCGTGTCGAAGCAGTAGGTGCCCACATCGCTGACGGACACGACGATGACGTGTCCGATCACCGCGTACGACTCCACCATGCCGCCGGAGTCGAAGACGAACGGCGGCGGCGGGAGCGGGTCGCAGTGCCAGTACTTTTCCCACGGCGGCGACGTTGGCTCGGGCTTGCGATGGTCGAACACCTCGAACTGGAACAAGCTGCCGCCGCCGCCGCCGCCGCTGCTCTCCGGGCGGAGGGTGTTTTCCATGACGTAGAGCTTGCTTTCTTCCTCGCCCTGCGCGGCAATGGAGACGGCGACGGGGGAGTCGCCCTTGGGAGCGTGGAGGCTGGGCATGCCGGTGAAGCGGTTGCCGTCGGCGTCGTAGAGGAAGGCGCGGCCGGCGTGGTCGGCGAAGACGACCTTGCTCTCCGACTCAGCGAGAGGGAAGCAGTCGAAGCCGAATCCTCCCGCCGGAGTTGGGGGAGACGGCGCCATGCTGACGATCGACGGCAGCTGCCGCAAGGTCTCCACCGCCTCATGTCGTTTCATCTTCTTCTTCCTCCTCCTCTCGTCGTCGTCGTTCAGCTTGGGCCACTGGAATTCGTACTCCTCCTCTCGTTGCACGCGCAGATCACGCGGCCCCGCGGCGGCGGCAGCGGCCGGAGTCGGGTAGAAGAGCGGGTGGCGGGAGAGGTCGATGCGGCGGAGTGAGTAGAGGCCTCCACTACTCTCCACCAGCAGATTCACGAATCGACGGAGGCGGCTCATAGTCGATCGATCCGCTTGACGCCGCCGCCGCCGCCCACCGGAATCGATGGAGGAGGGTTTGTCCGCGGCGGCGCACGACGTACGTACGTACGTATGTAGGGGTGGGTCGGCGAGATCGATCGATGGCCGCGGCGCGATCATATATGGGCCCGGCCCATTGATAGTCCAGCCCGTGGTTCGATGGCATGCATGCACCTCAAATTGGCTGGCCCGATAGATGCTAGGCAAAATTGATGTACCGATATGGCTGTTATGTTTGGTCTCAACCCTTATATTTACACGATCATGCTCACAAGGGGAAAAAACGGAATTGTTAAAAATGGTGAAGGTTAGGGAAGTTATTAGTTGATGATAACATCATTTAATAGCCCAAGACACCGGAGAAAATTTCAATAAAAAAACAAAAGTATAATTAAGAGTTGAGAATTAAAGCTACTATTACATCTGCTGCTCAAAAGCAATTAAGAGGTGAAAGTTAACAACATTAAATAGTCTAAGCAAGAACTCGATAGAAATGACAAAGATAGAAAATCCAACATCAACCTAAAGCTAGCTATTAGTTCTCACAAGCCCTTTCAATTGAGACCATATTTCACTTAAAAGGATGTTGGTACTCTAAGTACGCTCTTAATTCTAAGCACATTTGATAAGTCCTCCTCAAGTGCCTGTGCTGTTGTTGATGGTTGTTAAGCACTACTGATTTTGACCGTTAACTATCATAATATATAAAGGGAGAACTAATATTTCCTACACATATGCCAGTAATAAATTGTCAGTGTTATAGATAAGACATACCTAATAGTTTTGGGTTAGGCTCGGCGGGACCCACCATATACCAAGTCTTATATGGAATCAAATCTCATATACGAAAAGTGTTCCGGATAAGGAAGGAGAAGCAGAGTTCTACTCAGGCACTACAAGGTTTACACGGATCGTATTCATACTTTTCTTAGTTCTACTTGGACAATGGGACATCCGAGGGTATAAATGCAAGACTCCCTAGGAGGAGGAGAGGCATGCTAACAAGCCAACAGAAGCCAAGTCAGAGAGGCAACAATGATAACAACACAAGCCAACATAGATCTAGACCAACAGAAGGCAAGCTTATATAGACATACTCAACTGAGCCACAAAGATCGACATGAGGGATCTAGCGTTACCTCTAATCTCGCTGAGTTCATATTCGAGGAGAAGACTACACTAGCCGTCGACTACGTGTTGGAGATCCATGCTGCCAAGCCGACACCGACTAGATTAGGTCATCCAAAATATTGTACTCGAGTGATACTGATATATATAAGAGCAACACCGGCTTCGACAATAGGAGTTGAGCTATTACTTGTCAGTTAAGGGGCCCGAATCTATATACAAATCCTTGTCTCCGTCTCTTCTACCTCAATCTCACGTATACCCTGGCACCAACGATCCCCGTACTCTACAAATACCGTTGTCGGGATCTACTCCCTCGACATAAATAATGTAGTTGCATTTGTATTAGAGAAATACTATGTATGCAGGGAATATACCATAAAAGTTGGTATGTAAAGAAACACACTTCCGACGAATCACGTGAGAGCACACGGATTGATGGGCTCACAAGTCAGACCAAACCGACTTAAATTGGGGCCAAAAAACTATGCACCGACCAAGGGGCCCACCTGTCATCCCCTTACCAAAGGCAGCAGGGAAAAGTTGCGACTGCCATAGAGCCCCTAAAAGTTGTGACTGCCAACGAACTATTGCGAAGTCCACTCTCCTTGTGGCCCTCACAACGCCCCGGCTAGGCTATAAGTGGGCCAAGCCCATACATGATCCTAGGCTGGATCCAGCTGCCGCCATAGATCGATCTCACCTACCCTACGTACATACATTGTGCACTCCTTCATCGATCGATCGATCGATCGATCGGTGCACCGCCGGCAACAAACCTTCCATTGATTCCGGTGGGCGGCGGCGTCAAGCGGATCAATCGACTGTGAGCCACCTTCGTCGATTTGTGAGTATGATGTTGAACCATGGAGACTTCTACTCGTTGCACCGCATCGACCTATCTAGCCTAAGCCTAAGCCTTCCATTAGCTGTTGTCCTTGGTTAAATTTTGTTCTCAAATATACACGCACATTCCCTGTGATTCGATACCCTTGTAATACTCTAAGGTGAAGTGTTACAACGGTATTCGTGCATTTGAGGATTTGTCTATGACCATCACAAATACCAACACTACCTCTACATTACCTTGCCCCAACCCATTCTCCGTCCATGCTTGGATGTGTAGATGTCAGTTGCCACCTGCTTTAGCAGGAGGACCCACCATTGTAGGTTATGCGAGATGGGGAATAGGGCCAGGGGTTCAAAATCAAATCATCAAAGTGATTGAAATCACGAAAAAATCAGAATAGACTACATGAAAAAATAAATTGTGTTGCAACAAAATTCCAAATCATGGTGGCGGCGGAGCTAAACAAACTCCGCGAAGCATCCCCCAACTTGATGCCGGGGACCCATCTGCCCAAGTGCGACTTTTGCTAGATTAGAAGTGTGTCCCGCCAAGGCCACATTTTTCCAAATAGGAATGGGTCCAAAACAACCGTAAATTTAGTGTTTTATGGACCATCCAAGCAACATTTTTTTCAAGGGTGAATAGCTAATATGGTCCCTGAAGTTTCGCTTCAGGCTCAGTTTAGTCCTTGAGGTTTCAAATCGTCCAAACAAATCCTACAAATTAATCATTTAGGTTAATATAGTCCTCGGACCCACAAAAAGTGCCACGTGAGCATGCCAAGTCATCCTCGCATGCAGCGGTACGAATGAAATGACCATTATACCCTTATATACCATATAAAAAAGAAAACAAATGTTGCACACATGTATGATCGTTTTAGAATTGTCACTTACGATTGCTGCAACCAAACACTGATCTTATAAATTCCTTTGTCGGCCACCCTCTGCAACAATGTTGGGCCTAAGTTGGCCTGTTATTTTTTTTTGTTTGTGTCTTTTCTTTCTTTTCTATATGGTATATAAGGGTAGAATGGTCATTTCATTCATGCCACCGCATGCGAGGATGACTTGGCATGCTCACGTGGCACTTTTTGTGGGTTCAAGGACTATATTAACCCAAATGATTAATTTGGATGACTTGTTTGGACGATTTGAAATCTCAAGACTAAACTGAGCCCGAAGCAAAACTTCAGGGACTATATTAGCTATTCACCCTTTTTTTCAATGGGTAAAAACTTTCGGGCTAGTACATTACACCGGTTTCAAACCAATGACTGAGCTTCCAAGTAGTCCCTTAACGGAATGGAGTTGGCACCGTGAAAGGAAAATCATCTATAATTGTGACACAAATCCTTTGCGCCATTGACATATGGGCGTCATTCTTCTCTGGTTCCATATACAAGCTAGACTATCCAAAGCCACTAGCTCTTAGTCACCAATATGTATTTATGATTTTGCTGTATATGATAGCTTTACCAATTTTATCGATAGTTGCGTCGTTTCCATATTATAATTCGCTTTGGGTCTATTCGAAGTCAAAAATTTTCAAATTCAACCAAGTTTACAGAAAAATATAGCAACAATTCTAATACAACACAAATATATTATGAAAGATATATTCGATGGTGGATTTAGTAAAACTTTCTAGATGTTGCTGTGCTTTCTATAAACTTAAATAAGTTGGACTTAGCACAAATCTAAAAAGTATTATAATATGGAATTGAGGGAGTAGTAAACAAACATATTAATATTTTTTGAAAGAAAATACATATTAATACTTTATACTTGATACATCCACATTGTTTAACTAGTTTATCAGACAAGGGGATATTTTCTAAAATATCTCAAAAATAATAACAATATAGATATTCAATAATACGCGTATTTTTCTTGAAATATCTATGATTTTGTGGGGGATTGAAGAATGCCATTTGCTATTAATCTAATGGTCATGATGTACGATAAATATATTGCAGTGAGTTTGTGTATTTACAAATACATAAATCTTATGTTGGAGAAATTAATTATTACCTGCATCCCAAAATACAAGAGTGTAGTGGAATTAAATTATGAAAGGATTTGATTGGTTAGGAAAAGAGTGTAGGCGGAGAAATTAAACTAGGGAATGTTGTGTTTGATTGAGAAAAGAGTATAGATAGACAATTTGTTATATTTTGAAACAAATTTTGAGTGCTAGATGTTGTTATATCTTAGGATAGAGTAAGTAGTTAATGCTTGTATTTTTAAACATTCCCCACGTTTTACATGATTAGATTTGATCGTGTAATGGATCAGGCTGACATGCCCTACCACACCTGGATCTCCAGAAATACTATTAAAAACTAATTAATTCTAAAACTTCAATAATTGATAGGCTAAAAATAAATAAATGTTGTAACTAACATTCTACACACAGATTTCTCCTAGTAGCCATGATAACATTGAGTCCTCTGCACCATTTATATGAAAGAAGTTAACAACATATTAACATCAATTATTTAGTTATGGAAGCACAATATTGCAGAATATAAATGAACACACTATTAATACCTCCTGCAACATTGTCTCCTTGGACCACCGTTTATCTGAAAGAAGTTAAGAGCATATTAACATCAATTATGTAGTTATGCAAGTCCAATAATGCAGAATATAAATAAACACATTATTGATACCTCCTGCAACACTGTTCTCCTTGGACGCCACTGTGTATTATCAGCTACTGTATAAGTATTCCATAGACTACTCCAAGTGAAAATAAAATATAGAAAACTGTAAATTATATGCAAACACATCTTAATAAGACAATTTTAAAAAGCATACCATGTAGCTGTCCCAGAACTTCAGAAAATTGAAACCTCTCATGGTTCAAAATCATGCAGAAATACTGCTCGGGAGTGAACTCGATGATGCATCTCCTCATAATGTAGATGGTATTAACTCTAAAAGACGAGTCGAAGTTAGTTCTAAATATGTTAAAAAATAAAAAGTAATTTGGAAGATATACCATTGGAGAATTGGATCCCATAGATGTTCCACCCATCATATTCATCACCACCGCCGCCACCGCCAACACCGCTGCCACCACCACCACCACCATCATCATGCTGATCACGATGGCGGCGGCGGTGGCGGCGGACCATCACCACCACCGTTCATATTTCATATTCGAGGAGAAGACTATACTAGCCGTCGACTACGTGTTGGAGATCCGTGCTACCAAGCCGACGCCGACTAGATTAGATCATCCAAAATATTGTACTTGAGTGATACAACACCGGCTTCGACCAACAGGAGTAAAGCTATTATTTGTTAGTTAAGAGGCCCGAACTTATATAAAAATACTTGTCTCCGTCTCTTCTACCTCAATCTCACGTATACCCTGGCACGAACGATCCTCGTACTCTACAAATACCGTTGTCGAGATCTACTCCCTCGACATAAATAATGTAGTTGCATTTGTATTGGAGAAACACTATGTATGCAGGGAATATAGAATAAAGTGAAGGAGAAATAAGTCGGCATGCAAAGAAACACACTTCCGACGAATCACACGAGAGCACATGGATTGATGGGCTCACAAGTTAAACCAAACCAACTTAATTTGGGACCAAACAACTATGCACCGACCGAGTGGCCTATATATCATCCCCTGACCAAAGGCAGTAGGGAAAAGTTGCGACTGCCATAGAGCCCCTAAAAGTATTCAAAACTTAAAACATTTTATAATATAAATGGAATAGATTAATTACTCTTCTTTTAGAGAGAGGGGTAAAAGAAATGATCTCCTGGCCCAGATGAAAAATGTTTCGTCTTACTTATCATTGCCTCAGCTTTGTATAAGTTTTAAATTAAAATAAGTTTATAAAATCTACTCCCTGCATTTCAATATATGATCCTATTAAGTTTTTACGATGTCCCCATTATATTGTAATTATTTTTCATAATATGTTATCAACAACTATAAAATTAACATCATATGAAAATATTTTTTAAATACAAGTCCCATATATGGCAATAAACACATAAATTTTTAGTGCCAACTTGATTGAATAGAGTAGGAGAAAACTATACAAGTCCTAAGGGACTAGGCTACAAAGGCCTTTTGCTCCTGTCAAGATCCAAATTTTTGCCTTATCTTTGATCTTAGCAACTAGATTTGTTGCCTATAGTTCTTTGTATCTGAACACTCGCTGATTTCGCTCTTTCCATATTCCCCAAGTCAAAAATTTTTAAATGTTGATTTTGCGAAAAGCAGTAACATATTACATATTTTTTAAAATACGGAGGGAGTAAATACAGTACTTTTGCAAGGCAACCCACCTACATGTACCAAATTTCTTTTTCAGACTAAGCAATGAGAAATTATCGATGGTCGATCTTATCACAAACGTTAAATATTTATAACTGGAGTTTGGAAGTACTTAAATTAAATGTAGATCATAAACAATGTCGTTATATCTCATGAACAAATTAAGCTAGATGAGGTTTAGAGCACGGATTTGACGCTTCTAGTGCCGCCGTCGTCGAGCTCGGCGTAACGCCTCGACTTGTGCTTGATCATTCGGAGCCCTTCCTTCCGATCGATGATCGCCTGATCCGCCGCCATTGCCGGTCGCCGGAGCCGGAGCCGGAGGCAGCACCTCCAGTCCGGTGAACACCGGGAAGGTGATGTCCTCGATATGGTCGAGATGCAGTCTTGGCCAGGAGCCTGTTCGTTCATGCTGCCGCTGCCGTCGCCAGGCGCTGCGCCCTGCCTAGCTGCAGCCTGGGCAGTAGAGCACAAGACACACTGAAGCAGAGACACACAAGAGAAACACTTACAAGGGCAAGAACACACACAGGCAACCGAGGAAGACCAAGCGCAGACCCAGATACACCGTTTTCCCTTCCGCGTCACTCCCAGGGCAGGGGCGACACGGGAGGCGACCCAGCAGCTTCCGCCACACCACCCCCATCGCCCTCCTTCCGCCTCGCTGCCGGCTGAGCGGCTGCCGGAAACCGCACGGCCGCAAGGACGGCGGCGGGGCCTTCTCCCCCTGAGGTCGCGGCGTTCGGAGCCCACGACCCCGACCTAGCTCCGGGGTGGCGACTTCCGCGGCTGCAATGTGGAGCTCGACGGTGGCGCATGGCGTCGGCGAGGTGGCGGCATCGACGACGGTTGAAGAGGTGGGCATCTGGGCCGATGACAATGAGGCGGCGGTGCTGGCTCCTGCACTCTCCTGCGGGGAACTGGAGGGGGGGATCCCGAGCCGCCGCCGGCGGCGATGCGCGTGGATCCGGCGGTGGAGGCGGCGGGGTGGCTGGTTCCGGCCCCCTCCTGTCCGGATCCGGCGCGGGAGGCCGAGCTCCGACCCCAGGCGGCGAGGCGGCGGGGTGCGGAGGCCGTGGCGCAGCCGTGAGGAGGCGGGGGCGGCCATACGGAGCCAATGGCGTCACACGGCCGTGAGGAGGCGGTGGCGCGACCGTGCGGAGACGGCAGCGGTGGCGAGGTTGCGGGGAGGCAACGAGGAGGGAGAACTGTGGCTGTGGAGGCGACCGTCACGACTGCTGTCAAAGTGGAGGCGGGGAAGGAGTTGGGCGCCGGAGAAGGACCGCGGCGTGAGCCCGGCGACGGCGGTGGTCTGCCGGTGAGATGCACGGCGCGGTGGTTTCACGGCCACGGGCGGCTAGCCGGGGAGGCGTGGCAGATGGCCGCATTTGGTTGGCGTGGCCAGCGGTAGTGGATGTCGGCACGGTGCGAGGTGGCGTGGCCGGCGGCAAGATCGGCTTGGCGTGAGGAGGCGCGGCCGGCGGCCAGTAGCGTCTTCACGTCTGTAACAGTTGCTGGTGACACGCTTGCGCCACCCACGGCCGGGAGCATCCTTGTCTTCGCTATCAACCATCGGCGTGTACCTTCATGGCTACAACTGATGATAAGCTTGGACTAGTCGCCGTCGCCGGTGCCAATTATTTGTGCATCCACCGCCAACGTGCTCAAGTTTGGAGCCACCGATCACAATTAAGTTCACTTCTAAAATTAGTGGTGATCTAAACGAAAATTTGATAATAATTATATTTTGTTAGTCTTTGATTTAATGGCGATCGTATCTTATATTTTGGGTTGGGTTGGAGGAAGATATAAGAAAATTAGTGTGCGGTGTAGTATTTGAAAAGGAGAATATACATGAAAGGAAGACACATTGGCACCGGTGGAGGAACAGAGAGTATGTAACACTGCTGGTAGAAGTGTAGCCGCGAGATTTTATCGATGGCCTACTTGCGCGTCCTCTCGTGCTCATGTGAAGCGCCGCATGGCACGAACGTAGGGAACAGATCCACACTAAAATTTTACCTCTCCCATATGGAACATTTAAACACATGTATAAAGGATTAAATATATATACTTAAAAAATAACTAATTACACATATTGCAACTATTTTACGAGACGAAACTTTTAAGCCTAATTACTACATGATTTGATAATATGATGTATAGTAAACATGTGCGAATGATAGATTAATTATACTTAATAAAATCGTGTCGGGGTTTACTGACGAATACTGTAATTAGTTTTTTATTACAGTGAGGGGAGCGTTTTAGTTATAGCCCACGTGCGGTTTAGCGTATCCTAAATGTATCAAAGTGCGGGATATCATATTTATCTGCAATCTCATACAGAGTATACTAAATGTATTTCTCTCTTAACATAGTTTGATAAACCAGTTTTATTTGTTATTAATAACTAATATAAGTTTTACTTTTAGCGTGTTTATTAAAAGAATATTAAAATTTACTTAGAAATTTCCACAGCAAAGCGGGAAGAATCAACTAGTTTTAATAGTTTGATGTACCGGCGACAAACAGAACTACACTTCTAACACAGATTCGTCACGTCCCTTGTCAAACACTAGTATTCACAAGTAATAAACGCAACACTGAACCTGCTAACCACAGCTTTCACGCGAGAAGATGCCCTCCAGACAACGCATAAGTAAGATAAAAAAGATACAACAGGTATAGAGTTGTCTCCTACAATCAGTTGTCCCTATTCCCTTCTTTATATAAAGTTAACACCCACTAACTGCAATTAAGATCTTAAAACTCAATCCTCAATGATCCACGTCATCAACATTTCTCAGCCGTTGGATCAATTAATGGATTAGATAACTTTACAGCCGTTGGATGAGAAAAACGCAGCACGCTCAGATGAAAACAGCCCAACCATGTTCTCTCAAACAGCCAAACCGTGAGGCCCATCTAGCTAATCCGATCCAGCACAGCCCAACCATCATCTCTCACACAGCCACCCCCGTGAGGCCCATTTGGCTAATTCGATCATGGCCAATTCAAGAGTAAAGGATTTAGGGTTTTTGTTGGATCGGTGTGGCCGTGTAGGGTCTCGTCCTGAGTCGGAGTGGTGGCGCCGGCTGGTTCATCCCTAACAGACTAAACCATCCACGCCACAATGCCGTTGCGCAACCGTTTCTCCTCCTCACGCGAACGCTGCGCTTGCTTGCCCCCTCCTCTTCGGCCCTTTGGTTCCCCCTTGAGAGCGTAGTTATTACCGAGCTGCGTATTCCTCCGTTCCTAAATGTTTGACGCTGTTGATTTTTTTAAATATATTTGACCGTTCGTCTTATTCAAAAACTTTTGTGAAATATGTAAAATTATATGTATACATAAAAGTATATTTAACAATGAATCAAATCATAGGAAAAGAATTAATAATTACTCAATTTTTTTTAATAAGACGAACGGCCAAACATGTTCAAAAAAAGTCAACGACGTCAAATATTTAGAGACGGATGGAATATTAAAATAGGGAAGTTGAGTAGTCGGTGAGATATGTAACTGATGTGCAGCACCAAGAAGACAAAATCATCCGTGGATTTCGGCTTCCCTAGCTATCCAACAAATCTCATCGACCATGGCCAGACTTTCTTTTCCTCCAGCCGGGAGCTTAGAGAACGAGCCATCGGAAGAGTCTGTCATGGATTAATTTTGATCACCTGCACTCACGGGATTCATTTGCACAAGCTCAGGGTCTTTTTGTCATCTATGGCTGCAAAGCCTGAGGCTCAGATGGGAAGTGATGTTAGTTGTTCAACAAAAAATATTGTGCCTGCTTCATCTGTTGCCCAACTCATGGTCTATAGCTCGTAATGCTGCGCTATGTAATATGACCGCTCTACGTTTCTCATGCTGATCTATATTACTTTTATTTTATCCATAGGGAAATCACTTTTATAGCCTCCAAAGCTGTAAGCAAGAAGAAATCATTCATATTGAGATTGAATAGTATTAGCAAAAGGAAGCTATTTTAATCAGTTGAGGATTGGACATAATTTATTTCTCTCTTCATTCCATCAATGGTTATTTGGAGAACTACTTCGATACTGCAACAATTTTCTTTCTATATATCAATATATGTGCTATACAGGAATCGGTTATGGCAGTTTGTAGAATATTTGGTTACCGCAACAATTTATTGAAGGTATGATCATGCGTCTCAAACTCCTCTTCCTTAATTATACAAATTCAACTATTCTTAGAAAATAAAATATATATCAAGAGAATATTTGGTTTTCGATCTCTCCTACAAGAGGTTCATAGTCCTCAATGTCGGCCCATTCAAAAGGTCTTAGAGAGCATGACTCTTTCGTTCGATTGGTCAGTCTTAAAACAAAGAAATTAGTTTTGTATGAAAGCAATCAAATTCCTTTGTTAATCAATTTCAATATTTTACTAATATGTTTACCACACTAAGTTTATAAATTTTAATATTATTTACAAGATTTCCCGCTGCAACGTGCGGGGCCTCATCTAGTATTATTAAACTGTACATAATAGCCACTTCCCTACACTGGTAAGAGGCAACCCCAAAAGGCATTCCTTCTCCCCGCCGAGCTACACCACCCTATTCTCAGCTGCTGCACACAGTGAGTTCTTCCTTCTCCTTTCGTCCAGTTTTTTTAGGGTTCTTGTATTTTTTTGGCTCAGATCTGGCGATTTGTAATGTGATAGTTCTTGATCTGTGATGTGGAAGTCCAGAGCTTGGATTAGCTATTCACATATTTCATTTATATTGAACTTGTTCAGATTATATAGGGTTCTTGCATGTATGTTCGTTTAGCAAATATTGCTATAGTTTAAGTACTAAACATATACAATTTATTTGGTAGGGTTCTTGTACTGAACATATACAATCCAATTTTTTCTAGGGTTATTGTGTAGTTGGCTCAGATCTGGTGATTTGTTATGTGATTGTTCTTGATCTGTGATGTGGTAGTTCCTGAGCTTGGATTAGCTACTCACAAATTTGGTAGTTGTATGGTTTATTTATAACTTGTTCAGATAGGGTACTGCCGTACTGGCATGTATGTTCGTTTAGCACATATTTCTCTAGTTTAAGTACTAACCATATGCATTCCAATAAATTGGTAGCAAATTTATTAAAATGGCACACGCGTATACTCGGAATTGTTAATTTTTTTTGATGAATATGTGGTACATAGATGGAGAAAGGGAAGGTACCAAAAGCGCATTGGGATGCATATGCTTCCAAAGTGTTCTGTGAGATATGTAGGGATGAGGTTCTAGCAGGAAATAGACCAACAGCTGCCTTGAGTCCCCTTGGCTACAAAAACTTGGAAGAAAAATTCTTTGCACAGACCGGGCGGCAATATGACCGTACAAAATTAAAGAATCGTTGGGACACTTTGAAGACACAACACAAGATGTGATAACGACGAAGACTATATGCCACCAATCAATTCACCTGAAGAAGAAGAAGAAGGATATGTTGGCACAGCATCTGATGACAGTGTTATGTGTCTCTTTCGGGATTCTATTGCAAACTCCTTGGTGGCAAATAGAGGACGTGGTAGATACTTCCTCCGTTTCACAATGTAAGTTATTCTAGCATTTCATATATTCATATTAATGTTAATAAATCTAGACATGATGTTAATGAATCTAGACATATATGAATTTGTGAAATGCTAGAATGACTTACATTGTGAAACGGAGGGTGTAGATGACAATGATATGTGTCCGAGTGATGGTGTATTTGGCTATGTGCTTGATGAACACATATTAGTGCAAAGTAACCTTTTGTATGTGCGTGACAAACACATTGCAATAACTTTATATTGCGATAATTAATTTAACCTTTCTCATTGCCTTAAAAATGAACACATTTTTTTATTCCTATCATTATGAAAAATGAATATTTACAAAATTATATGCACACAAATTATATATGGAAGGGTGTAATCTATCAACCAAATAATTAACAAGAGATCAGGACCACCATCTACCTCAGGGGTATTTCAGACAATTCAGCCTCTCAGCTCACCAGCCAACAAACCTAAAGAAGCTCCCCCAAACAGACCCTCCTCAGCTTCTCAGAATCTCCAGCTAGCTTCTCAGAATCTCCAGCTCTCTCCAGCTCCCCCAAACAGGCCCTTAAAGTCAGCAGGAACACCACCTAGCCAAGTTCCACTAGTCCATTGCAGCCAACTAAAAGCAGTAGCAGAAGGCAGGAGATTTCAAGAGCTAATCACCCAAGCTTTAGAGCACCGACTCGACGTTGTTGATTTGTTCGATGAATGTGCATTTTCTGGACTTGTGTTTGATCATACGGAGCCCCTTGGCATTCTGTTTGCCTTTCCCTTTGCCATTGCCCGCAGCCTTGTTGTCATCAGGCAGCACTTCCACACCACTAAAGACAGCAATGGTCTGATCAATTTGGTCTTTCATGTAGTCCCTGTTACCCGATGGTTGGAAGAACCTAATGATGCAAAACCTTCCTGAGCCAAGATTGACGAGGTCAGACATCCTGCACGGACGCCAATCCTCAGGAAGGTTGAGATCCTCCCAAATGCAGCCAGGTTTTGGTGGCTCAGCTCTGACAACAGGTGAGAGATCGGAAGCACATGGGGCATAGTTGTTCTTGGCGGACACACCAAACCAAAGCTTGAGCTCAGGGACATACTCACCCTTGCCGCAGAATGGCAGCATCCAGTCACCGGCATGACTCCAGCTGCAGCTCACCGTGTCAAAGCAGTACGTCCCAATCCCCTTAGTGGATATGCAGATGAAATTTCCCACCACTGCATAGGAACTCACTGGAGAGGGAACGTAGCGAGGGTCACGGACAAAAGGCGGTGGCGGCAGTGGATCACAGTGCCAAGCCTTAACCAAATATTCTGGTCCTGGCTTGCGATAGTCAAAGGCCTCGAACTGGTAGCTACTCCCCGTGCCCCTCTCTGGCAAGAGGACTTCCTCCATGACATAGAGGCGGCGGCTGCTGCTGCTGCTGCTTTCCCCTTCTCCTTTTTCGCCTTGGATTGCAACCGAGACTGAGAAGGGGGAATACTTCGGAGCATGGAGGCTGGGCATGCTTGTGACGCAATGCTCATCAAGGTCATAGAGGAAGGTGCGTGCAGCCTGGTCTGTGCATATGATCTTGCTCTCCGAGACAGAGAAACAATCAAACTTGCACATTTTATCAGTTGAGGATGGAGTCGGTAGCAAGCTGACAGTTGGTGATGGAAGCCGAATGCTCTCCACCTCAAAAGCCTGTTTGCTACTCTCGCCATAACCCTTGAACGGGTAATATACATATCCTTCTTCTCCTAGCGCTGGCAGATCTTGGACAGCTGACACCTCTGTTGATGAGTAGAACAATGGGTGTCGAGACAGGTTGAGACGACGCAGTGAGTAGACACCCTTCTCACCGTTCTCCATTAGTAGATTCACAAATCGATGGAGGCTCATGATCGCCCTTTCCTTAATATTAAATCCTGACAAGATTCAGAGGAATTCACGAGTAAGAGCACAAATTCAACCCATCCTGACTTCCTCCTTTGAATAAAAAATGTAAAAGGAAAATCAACCCATTCACATTTCTCCATTTCTTTGTGTTTTTGTGTATAAAGAAAACCAACCCATCCCCATTTTCTTTCAATAGGAAGGAGGATATGAACCTCATTTCCTTCCAACAGGGAGGATGAACAAGGTTGCACGTTGGTGTGAAAAGAAAATTGTACCCATTCTACTTACATCTGTCATCCGGTATGTATGTAATGGACCAGCAAATGCGGAGAAACAAATAATACAGTACCTACGATTAAACCGGACGCTGCCTGAACATAAGAGAGTAAACCTAAAGTGGGGCATGGGGTTTCCAAATACAAATATTTTTGGGGAAAAGCTGTTATTACTACTAAGGCTAAGACAAAGAGAAAACCTAGCTTAATTCCAGATATAGAAGAGAGAAGGTAAGGTAAAGAGATAAGGTGTGGGTAGAACGAGAGGGATGAAAAAGAAGACAGGATTCGGCACGCGCAGGTGCTCACCGGAAACAGCAGGATAGGTGGAGACCGGCGCAGGTGGCGGGTGAACTCGCGAGGAGACGGTAGTCGAGGCCGAGGGAGATCGACTTGGAGGCGGCGCCGGCGCCGGCGCCGGCGCAGTCGCTCTCGCGCAGCGGACGGGGAGGGGATGCTGCCTGTGCCTGGAAGGGAGAGTGGAGCTAGGGTTTTTGGTATACTATAATGCGATTGGGGCTTTGGGCCTTCAATTCCTCGCTGCGCTGTAAGTCTATTTCACATCCCTCATCCCTTAATCCTAATTGAACCATCTGCTTTAACTGCAAAATCGGGTATAACGTCTCCCTATCTTCAAAAATCAATGCAAATAGACTTCTTTGATGGTTTGGTGAGTGATTTTTTCTAACGCTGCAGGGGTGAAACCCACATGCTTTAAGGAAGATGTCCTCCCGTGACGCCTTGGTAGCCCAAGACTACCTCTGATGTCAAGCTGCCTCCTCCAAGTCATCGGTTGCCCATATTCCCTAATAAGGCAAAACGTATCGAGGAATAAAAATTAATTTATAGTTAAAACTTTTATATATTTGTTCGTAGTGACTTAAAACCAACGGAGTGATTGATCTCTTCTTGTAATCTATTGCAGGAACAACTCCACAAAAGGATTGTTGTGTGGCATGATGAGATAAAGCTACATGGTGACTAGAATGCAGGCATGACGGATACAAGTTATTAAACATTCTAATCAAGCTTTCTGGTTAATTTCTCTATGAATTTAAATATATATTGAGATGTCTCTTTCACGCAAAATATACGAAAACATATAGGATCTTGCCTCTTCCCATGTAGTACCGCGCCACCACACAATCTTGCCCTGTTTTTATTTGCCGCTTGTTAGTGTGCATCACCAATCAAAACAGGAGGTGTTTGGAACTCCGTCTGTGAGATCTTGCATCAAAAGAAGATGAATAGGATAACTTTGGGAAGCACTCCACTCTTGTGATGTCCACCATGACTCGAGCGCTAACAAGTTACTAGTATTATCGATACCCTTGTACCGTGTATCCTGCATTGTCTATATAGTAGTACTTGTTGCACCTGTGTCTAATCCTTTTACGCAGAACCAATACGTTTTGATAATATATTTGTTTTGCGTTGAAAATACTGTTATATTTTTTTTTATAAACTAAGTTAAATTTAAAAAGATTTGACTAGTAAAATTATAAAATGAAACGAAAATAGTGCTAATGAGCAATTATTTTAAAAAAAGGAGTAAGCAGTACTCCATATATATCTAGATAAGATAAAGAAAGGAGGTCAGTGAGTCAGCAGAGTACCGGTCTACCTCTGCTGCTTATCTGAAATTTCGGAGTCTGAACTTTGAAGTTTGAACTGCACCGCATCGTCGGCTCCAACTCGACAGGATAGGAGCCAGACCACCCACCTACCTACAGTACTCCACCAGATCAATCCCAACACGCCTCTCTCTCTTCTCTGATTGATTACTACTCCACTACAGTACTAGTCCAAGGCGGGCGGAGACGGCGACGGATTGCGCGGGCGCAAGCAGCACTCAAGTTCGCTAGTCCTCCTCCTCCTTCCTGTGTAGTGGAGCGAGGCGAGGCGAGCCGACGCCATGGCCGCGGCGCAGCGCTGGCTCCCTGGGATCCTCCGCCGAGGGGACGGGCTCGCGCGGCGCCTCTACTCCTCCGCCTCCTCCCTCCTCTTCGACGACACCCAGGAGCAGGTTCGTGCCGTGCCCGGTGCCCCCACCGCCGCCTTCCCCTCCCATTGTTAACCCCTCCGCCGCGCCGGAATCGTGCGTGCTCATGGCTGGATGTATATGTTGTGCAGTTCAAGGAGAGCGTGCACAAGTTCGCGCAGGAGACCATCGCCCCGCACGCCGCCGCCATCGACGCCTCCAACCATTTCCCCAAGGACGTCAACCTCTGGAAGCTCATGGGCGATTTCAATCTCCACGGCCTCACCGCCCCAGGTCTCTTGTGTACAATTGATACTCTCATCTCTCAATTTTTCATTTGGTATGTCTGCTGCCCTAGTCGACACAATCTCGTCAAAATGTGCGCTCAAAATTTGTTACAGCAGGTGTCGAATTTGATTTAGATTTCCGTCAAATTTTGTTTTAGATATGCAGCAACATGGTGACATGTACGCCCATGTCTCAAATCTGTCTCATTGCCGTTGCCAATTTTAGCTACACATGCCTGCACAATGATTTAACAAGGCCACCATGTTCTGTTCTATACAGAGGAGTATGGTGGGATGGGGCTCGGCTACATGTACCACTGCATTGCCATGGAGGAGATCAGCAGGGCGTCCGGCTCGGTCGGCCTGTCTTACGGCGCTCACTCCAACCTCTGCATTAACCAGCTGGTACTGTTCTGTCTACTGTCATTGTAACATGCCATGAATGAGCCATTACAATTGGACAAAACAATCTCTGCTCAATACAGTTATGAACTTGTGATGTGTCTGATGTTTGTTTATAGGTCCGGCATGGCAGCCCTGCCCAAAAGCTCAAGTACTTACCAAAGGTGCTTCCCCAAATCATCAACTTGTACTGCTTCAGTCAGACTCCAGTGTTAAACAATTTACTCATTTAGTGTTCTCAGTGACTGATAATGGATCCTGTTAATGTGTTTTACCTTTTCTCTAAAGCTAATCAGTGGGGAGCATGTGGGGGCATTGGCGATGAGCGAACCCAACTGTAAGTATCATTTGGTCTCTTTACTGTGCTGTTCCAGTCCTTGGCAGGATTTGTGAGCTAATTCCTTCTGGCATGCCTATTTCTACTTTCAGCTGGTTCTGATGTTGTCAGTATGAAGTGCAAAGCTGAGAAAGTAGATGGTGGTTATGTCATTAACGGGAATAAGATGTGGTGCACCAACGGGCCATCTGCTCAGACACTGGTAATGCTCTCAAGTCCTTTTGTAGATTCACTCCCTCATGATATCTCCTTTCATGTTCCGTTTTCCAGTCATTAGCTCTGCTGGGTTTTTGTCTCTTGGTGTTTCAACGAGTTTCATTTGGCTGCTCTTGCCTTCGCAACAACTGTATCTGCAGATCCAAAACATCTCTTAGCGGTAGCTTCCAGAAAAGCAAGTTATGTCTGTTTATAGGTCTATAGACATAATAAGCCTGCTAGTTCACTAAAGTTGGGAGTTTCAGGTTGTGTATGCAAAAACAGATATAGCTGCTGGATCAAAAGGAATAACCGCGTTCATAATTGAGAAGGGGATGCCCGGGTAAAGAACTACTCCATCACCTATTGTTATGCATGATCGTCAGATATGTTACTATAATATTCTGGTCATGTAAACAAATATGAGATAGATGATATCATGATATTAAAAATGATTGAAGCTAAGACCAAGGCTTTGGATGGACAAAAGTTTAGGATTATTATAAATTATACTGCAAAGATGTTTATCTTCCAGAATTTTCACTCTGAACTGCACTTCTGCAGGTTCAGTACTGCACAGAAGTTGGACAAGCTTGGCATGAGAGGAAGTGACACGTATGTTTTCTATTTAAGAGGATAACCAAAAGAGTTGCATTAGATTTTGCATTAGATTCGTATCTTACATATATTTTTGACACAGATGTGAGCTTGTGTTCGAGAATTGTTTTGTGCCCCATGAAAACGTTCTCGGGGAAGAAGGGAAAGGTATTAACTGCTGATTGTCGTAAACTTAGTCAGAATTCTTGTTGCTATCCTGAGATATTTATTCAGTTGTGTACAGTACAGTTGTTTGCATCTACCAAACTGCCACTGTACACACAGAAAACTGTCATAATTCTAGCCATTGATCCTGTTATCATCCTCAAAGAGTGAACAGTTTTTTTCTTGTTGCAGGTGTTTATGTCATGATGTCAGGGCTTGATCTAGAAAGACTTGTGTTAGCTGCAGGTCCTATCGGCCTCATGCAAGCATGCCTTGATGTAGCTGTTCCTTATGTTCGCCAAAGAGAGCAATTTGGCCGTCCAATTGGTGAATTTCAGTTCATACAGGTATATCCAGGAAACTCTTACATATGTCCTGTTTTATCCTGTTTCTAGGTGCAACATTTTGTTAACAGACGTCTGGTACCAACCATAACAAGTTATCTTTTAATGCAGGGGAAATTGGCAGATATGTACACCTCCTTGCAGTCATCAAGGTATGCATATCTTCTCAAGACTTATACTGACAGGTTTAAGCATATCCTTACTGAAGCTTTCTTTGTTGTTTAGGTCATTTGTTTACTCGGTTGCTAGGGACTGTGACAATGGTAAAGTTGACCGCAAGGTACTTCTCGAAGACCCTACGCTATTAGTCCCTCCGTTCCAAAAATAAGTTGATTTCTAGCAATTGGGATTCAAATTACTATGGAGGGGAAAAGACCAAAGTGGCCCTCATTAATATGAAAGTAGTATTGGTGAGTTGGTAGGTAGGTAAGGGGTATTGAAGGGATAAACCTCTTCCATTTGTGAACCAACGGTAGGTAAGAGTATAGAAATCAGCTTTTTTTTTTCGGGACAAACGTTAGAGTGTAGAAACCAACTTATTTTAGGACGGAGGGAATAAATGCTTAATTATTGCATCGCCTTCATGTAGTTCTTCTATTCACAACAAAACTGTCTTCATCTCATCTAATAATTATCATGGTGGTAAACTGTCTTCATCTTCATCTATATAATAATATTTTTTTTATTATTCAGGATTGTGCTGGTGTGATTCTCTTTGCTGCTGAAAGGGCAACCCAGGTTGCACTTCAGGTGAAAACCTTGTCTTCATTACATTGGATTCCGTGTTCGCTCTGTTTTTTTCCTCATGAATTATTCGGAACACGATGATTTGGCCCTATTTAGTTTTCTTTTGTTTGACAAATATAGTTGACTTATCAAAACTGGCACTTGTCATCCCATTACTGTCATTTGTCTTCCTCGGAATTCTGCCGCACTATTTCACTTTGGATCTTTCGTTTCTATGAGATTAACAATTTGTAACTTATGTTCTTTTAAAAAAAAATCAAATTTTAAACTAGTTATTTTCAGTATTATCATTTCTTTTTTGTGGTCTACTAATTAATCTTAAACCTTCTTACCATGGCAGGCAATACAGTGTCTTGGTGGCAACGGATACATAAATGAGTACCCAACTGGCCGATTGCTGAGAGATGCAAAACTGTTTGAGATTGGAGCCGGTACTAGTGAGATAAGAAGAATGATAATTGGCCGCGAGCTCTTCAAAGAGGAGTGAAACTATTATTTTGGAAGCCAGGTATCTGATATGTATAACTTGGGGAGGTGAGCATGATTTGGACAATTTGTACACATCGTCCCTGATGTCCTATATCTGATAATTTGTCCAAGATTTGTCATGACTTTGTATATTTCCAATTTAATAAGAAATAAAATGCACCTTTCTTTACTTGTTCTGAGGTTCTTTTCAGTGTCTGTAGACCATAAGGTTTTTAATAGTGACTTGATGTGTAGTTGTGTTATATCATCTATCATAGTATTAGTACAGAGGCAAGAGACGGTAACCAGATACTTTGTTAGGAGGACATAGGTTTAAGCAAGTATGAGTAGCCTTTTTTTTTTTACGAAAAATGGGTAGCACAGCTGGAATTCTCTTTCAGATGTTAAGTTTTAAAGTGACGTGTTAGTGATCAAAACTCATCTCAGGGGAGAGCAAGAGTCCATGCCGATATCTGCTTGTTTTATTTATTTTGCAAAACAAAATAGTGTTTGGACCTTTGTTGATGGGAAGGAAATTTCCTGTAACAACTCATTTTATTAGTAATCGAACTTCTTTCCTACTCGTGTACTTAGGTACACAACTCCGCATTGCAGGATCATGCATTTTGTTGAGCTGAGAATGTTGAAGCAATAAAGTCTGCCTTTTTATTTTAATAGCTTAATTTCTTTTTTTAATGTGCGGTTAGTGCATTGAACACACCAGGAAATCCAACATAGAAGTCACTCCAAAGGTAATCTCTGGCAGCTTAGGAGTACAATAAATAAACCTATGTCTTTTGCGTCAAATTTAGGCAAATACTGTATCAGTCACGCTATGTGTCTTTGCTGTGACCTGTTCTTGCTAGGTATATAAGCACAAACCAATTCACCTGTTTCTTTCTATTATGGATCCCTGACACTGACATTGTTACGAGTTGAGGACAATAATAGATTTACAGTTCTAATATGTATTTTAAAAATTTAGCCCAAGGATTCGCTCAGAATTGCAAAATTACTTGTTATATGGCAACCTTTTTTTTTTAAAAAAAAATAACTTTTTACAACCTGTCATCATCAGTAGGGCTGTAGGGGCTATGGTGCAATGGTATTAATCCCGGACAACCTTTATGAGACAAGAATGTCATTTACAAATTCTAATTCTATATGACAATTCATCTCTAAGGCTTGCACAAAATTGTGTAACTTATAAGTTAGGAGAGAACCTAAAAAACTATGCTCAATGGATTTATACATAGCTGCTACTGGTTTTTACAACCTGTTGGTTTCAGTGGGGGCGACAATGCCCTGCAAGTGACTTGTTTTCTCTTGGATTTGAGCTTTCTGTTTTTGCCTCGTGGCTCCCCATTCAATGGCCTCAGTAACTGCTCGTTGACGATCGAATGATCTTTGATCTTGCTTAGTGCTACCAGTAAATGAGGGATCTTTATCCTGTTTGTTTTGGGGCACAGTGTTAATCTTCTCTTTATAGCCTGAGGGTACTTCTGCGAGGAATCCCAATGCGACAACAGTGTCACTCATGTATGGCCGAACTGAGGCTTCCTCTTGTAGGCACATTGCTGCCACGGCCACAGCCTGGTTCAAATCTCCCCTTGGGTAGTCACCTCTAAGAAGTGGGTCCACCAGCTCATGGTGCCTACTTGGATTTTTGAGCATGGGTTTGGCCTGTTGATCACAAATAAATTCAATGATCAGAAACTTTGTAGAAGGGCATCTTATTTGACTATTTTTTATCCAAAAATTTCATAGCGTTTTGTATGTTCCATTTGTTTGAAATATGACCAAGTTATAGAGGCAATTGTATTCTGATCTGAAATGCTGGTCTAGTTAAAGTACTTTTAGTGCATACCCATTTAACGAGGATTTGATCACATTCTGGTCTGGATGAATCTACAGCTCTTCTTCCTGTGATCAACTCAAGTAGAAAAACCCCAAAACTGTAGACATCAGTCTTGGTAGTTAGCTGGCGTGTCTTTATGTATTCTGGAGCACAGTATCCATATGTGCCCATCACCCGAGTTGAGATATGTGCCTTCCCCCCAACAGGGCCTAGCTTTGCAAGCCCAAAGTCTGACAGCTTAGGGTTGTATTCGTTGTCAAGAAGGATGTTGGGTGATTTGAGATCCCGATAGATGACAGGTGGATTAGCCTTCTCATGGAGGTATTCAAGCCCTTTAGCAGTTCCATGGGCTATCTTCATCCTGATATGCCAACTTAGTGGTACTTGATCTGGGGTGTTTTCTGCAATAACAATTGAGCTTATAAATCCTTGTTTCATCTAGCTATTAATTTGCTACGAAATGCTAACAGTAAATAATCATGTTACAATGTTGTCTGTATATTCTTCAGAGTATTTTTCTATGATGACAATTATGATAAAAAAAAAGTAGGCACTTGTGTTAGCTTTGTGATCACTAGCATCTAGATTTCATCATGGATTAAACTGACTGTCGTCAAGTTAGCATTGGCACTTGTGTTTGAGAAGAAAAAAAAGACCACTTACCTAGCAAGTGGTCTGCAAGTGAGCCATGGGCCATGTACTCATACACCAGTAATCTTTGATCTCCGTCTGAGCAATAGCCAACCAAACTGACCAGGTTTGGATGGTTTAAGAGGCTGAGCATCATCACCTCAACTAGGAACTCTTTGTTACCTTGAAATCCACTAAGATCCAGTCGTTTGACAGCTACAAGCTGATCATGTATGGAAAAATAATTGAATCAGTGAACAATTTGAGACAGGTGAGCTGATTTTATATGAAGAATGTTTGCCACTAATCGTTATTGTGTATACCTGGCCATTTTCAAGCTGTCCCTTGTAGACCCTGCCAAAGCCCCCCTCTCCCAGAAGACGGTCAGAACGGAAGTTATTGGTGGCTGTCGCTAGCTCACGGAACGTGAATTTTTTTCCAGTTCTGGCAGTAACTGGGCTTCCATTGTGTGGTTCAGTATTTGCTGCTGCTTCAGATGATTGCTTGTGGTCTGAGGAGACACATGGCAACTTTTCCGATTCTGCAGTGGTGAGTTGTAGGATACATTAGACATAAATTTACACAATTTCGTTCTGTTCTTATTTACTTGGATCTAGGTGTTTTCTATTGTTATTCAAATTCAAATCTGGATTGATTCAAGGTTACAAAAGAACTGTCAGAAAACTTGAATAAGTATGACAACAGATGCATGTGAAACTGTTAGGAAACAGATAATGTAGAATGTAATAGCTACATAGATTTCATTTGGAGAAACATGGATTCCTTTTGTTGCTTAGGCCTAGGAGTAGTAGCTGGGGTATCCCCCAATGATCTTACCAGAATTCTTAAGGGATGCTCCATGTTTCTTCACAACTGTGACCTCCCTTGCCTCCATCCCCTTTGACTTCATCTTCTTTTCAGGCTTGAAGCATGAAAAGCAGCTCATCTTCGTCAATGTATGAAATCTCTCTCAATCCCTGTTTCTTCCTTTTTGTCTCTTCTTACAATCGATAAGCCTCTGTTGTGCACAATGGGGGCAGCAAGGGTGAGAGTTTTATACAGGCTCCCCTTCTCCTTCCTTGCTAAAAAGATCCTGTATCCAAGTTACAGGTTCTTGTGCACTGCAACAAAAAAGTGATCCCTGTGAAGAAATGTGGATCTAGTCAGTAAAAAAAAAATGTGGTCAGATAAGAGGAGCATTTTCTTCATGCCTCTATGGAGGAGAATGGGAACCAAGAATAGAACATCCCTTTGTTTTTGGATCATGCTTGAATTCTAAAATTAGACAATTTGCTTATTTGAGAATGTGCAACTTCGAGAACACGCTACTTGTGTTGACTCCCTGGTTTCATTCTGGAAAATGGATTGTTTTTTGCCTGCTTATTAGAGTGTCTGATCTGGGTGACGCACTGGTTATCTGGTTCAAACTTGATCATAAACTGTATGGTCATTTTTCTGATTTAGATCAGGTTTATCTGGACATCTATCTGCTTTCTGAACCAATGAACCATGCCTAAGTCGACTCCTGTTTGTAATCCACCAAGTGGCTCCTGTGCTGGTTGAGCCAAATTGCTCCTGTTTTGACTGTATACCTTAAACTCTTCTCTTCTCCTCCTCTAATGCAATTGTTAGAAGGCCCTTTTCGTCCAAAAAGATTTGGCACTACTGACAAAATCATGATCTATCTAGTGAAATGTAGAGTGCTCCATTTGCACTCTATTTCCAAACCAAACTAGTAATCAACACTTCTGTTATAGGGGAAATACGTAGTGCAAACCTGGAAACTACCTTAGGATCACAAATGGACGTCTGAGATATTTTACTCCCAGATTTAACCATGAGTAGTTTTTTTACTAAGTCAAAAAAACCCAGTAAAAAAATTTACTCGTGGTGACGTTGACAATTCTCAGACGTTCATTTGTGTATCCTACTATAATCTTTAGATTTACACTACATATAGAGTTTGCACTGCATATTTTCCCTGTTATAGGCTTTGATCAGCCCTTAAAAGTTAAAAAAAAAAGAACTGCTCTCAACTCCTACCTCCCAAGGGACTTTGGTTGGTTGTCTGGTACTCTGGTACATGAATGATTGTACTGGTGAAAGTCCTATGCGAGCAATTTGGGTAAAGTAATTTTTGCTCTTTTTTTTATTAAATACAGTTTCAATTATCTAAAAATAATAATTTTTGGGTAAATGTATATGAAAAAAACCCAGGGCATGTAAGGCACTGTTCTGTCCTTTGTAGCTTTCCCTGTAGGACAGGTATGTTAAGCTAGCATACGCATACGTGTTGCACCAGTCAAAGGCTTTCCATCGATTGCACATGGTTATATAATCTTAGGTTAAATATTTTGTTGCCTTAAAAACCCAATTTACATGTAAATGGGGTTATGAAGGATGCCAATATGGGTCATCAGAAATTAATTATAAAGTTCATTTTTTTATGCACGTTCTAAAATTTTATTTCCTCCATTTTTAAATATGTTGTTGACTTTCAAGATGACATTTGACCACTTGACTTGTTATATGCAAAATATATATATATATATAGGACACTCATATGGGGCACCATGGTGCCCGGGCACCATGGTATGAAATACACAAATTCGCCCAAATTTTTCAAAATTTTCAAATTGTGAGTATATACCTAGTTATAAGTATTCGATTCATACCTATACCTAGCAACAAAACAACTCAAATTTAACTTTATTTCACAATCCATTATTACATACCTAACTAATTATATGTTTGGATGCTATATACCTAGAATCAAAATCTAACAAAAGCAAGTTTGAACTGAATTTGAACTTGTTTTTACTATATAAAAGTCATTCTTAAATTACCTTAATGGTTCCCATAAAAAGTACCTATAAATCTTTTCTAAAACTTTTTCAATATTTTATTTTTATTATTTTTCATATACATATATATTTTTTGGGTAAACTAATTTTGAATATACGGATATTTAATATTTGTATTTATCAAAATGTACATGATAAAAACTCTGAGTAAATGAAAATCACAATTTTATTTATATTTTAATTAGTGTAAAATTTAAAATTGGTAATTATCATATTTGAATCTTGCAAAGTCCTTTTTTTATTTAAGTAACTATTTTTGTTATTTTTAGTTCGGAATTTTTCGTACCTTTCTGTTGTGAATTGCATTCTTATGCAAATCAACTTGCTAATTTCTGTTGGTTTTAAATCGGACGTTCTATTCTTTTGTAGTTTAGAATAGAGTTCTTCCAATTCCTAAACTTCCTTCTAATTTATTTCAACTTTAGAAATTTTATATTGTATTTGGCAGTGACTATTGTTTTAATCTGAACCATTGTAATTGTGTCGTACATAGATGGATGGATTGATATATATATATATATATATATATATATATAAATATATAGAAACACATTCGATCACTTATTGCACTATGGATGCCTATCAGTATGACATAATTATGAGGACAGTAATTTGATTTATGGTTCAATTCTGTATGTGAAAATTTAGCCCTAGTGTTCACCCATTATTGCAATATTATTTCTTATAGGACGGCTTAATAAATTTGCCTGGCAATTGGCATATGTAAGCATAAGTGAAACTGGCCTTTTCACTTTCTACAACCTGTTGGCTTCAGTAGAGGCTATAGTGCCATGGTATTGATCCTTTTTTTTTCCAGGTCGGCCAAAAGTTCGGTCGACCAATTTCATTAAGATTGGGAGAAAGGATCATTACAATAGAAGCTTACAATGACAGTATGCTGTCGAAATAATTGGGGAAAAAAACCCCAACCATGTAAGCCATGGTATTGATCCTTGACCACCTTTTTTAGGCAAGCATGTCATTTACGAATTCTAATTTCTTTATTACAAGTCAGCTTTAAAGCTTGTACAACATTGCAAATTTACAAGTTAGGAGACAGCCTAAAAACTTTTGCACATGGTTCTATACATAACCATTACTCATATTACAACTTGTTTGTCTTGGGGGCTACAATGCCCTGAGGTTGAGCTTTCTTTTCTTTAATTTGAGCCATTTGTTTCTGCCTCACAGAGCCCCATTCGATGGCCTCAGCAACTGCTCGTTGACGGTCAAATGTGCTTTGATCTTTCTTGGTGTTACCAGTTACTGAAGGATCTTCATCCTTTCTGTTCTGGGGTTCAGCGTTAATCCTCTCTTCACAACCTGCGGGTACTTCTGCGAGGAATCCCAATGCAACAACAATGTCACTCATATATGGCCGAACTGAGGCTTCATCTTCTATGCATATCGCTGCCACGGCCGCAGCTTGGTTAAAATCTTTGTCTGGATAGTCACCTCTAAGAAGAGGGTCTACCAGCTCATGGTACCTCCTCCGATCATGAAGCATGGGTTTGGCCTGTTGACCACAAACAAATTCAATGATCAGAAACTTTGTAGAAGGGCATCTTATTTGACTAATTACTATCAAAAATTTCATAGCATTTTTTTTATGTTCCATTTGTTTGAATTATATGACCAAGTTATAGAAGTGGTTGTACTCTGATAAAAAAAATGCTGGTCTAGTTAAGTGTTTTTAGTGCATACCCAGTAAGCCAGGATTTGTTCACAAACTGGTCTGCAGGTATCCACAGCTCTTCTTCCTGTGATCAACTCAAGTAGAAAAACCCCAAAACTATAGACATCAGTCTTGGTACTTAGCATGCCTGTTCTTACGTATTCTGGAGCACAGTACCCAAATGTGCCCATCACCCTAGTTGAGACATGTTTGTCTCCCTCAAAAGGGCCTAGCTTTGCAAGCCCAAAGTCTGACAGTTTAGGATTGTAATCCTTGTCAAGAAGGATGTTGGGGGACTTGAGATCCCGGTATATGACAGGCGGACTCATCTTCTCATGGAGGTGTTCAAGCCCCTTTGCGGTTCCATGTGCTATCTTCATCCTGGTACGCCAACTCAGTGGTTCTTGATCTGGTGTAATGTCTGCAATAGCAATTCAGCTTATTAGTCTTTGTTGAATCTAGTTGTTAAGTTTCTGCCAACTGCTAACAGATAATCATGTCACACTGTTGTCTGAATATACTTCGTAGTATTTTCCTAAGCTAACAATGTTGCGATCAAAAGCATATATTTTTTGGTTTCCAGATAAGCATTTGCAATTGAATGTGTTAGCTGAGGAAAACAAAAAGACCAGCACTTACCAAGCAAGTGGTCAGCAAGTGAGCCAAGGGCCATGTATTCATATGCCAGTAGTCTTTGATCTCCATCTGAGCAGTAGCCAACCAAGTTGACCAGGTTTGGATGGTTTAAGTGCCCGAGTATCATGACCTCAATTAGGAACTCCCTGTTTCCCTGAAATCCATTACGTTCCATTTGCTTGACAGCTACAACCTGAACATTTATTGGAAAATAATTGAATCAATTTCAGACAAGTGAGCAACATTTTATCTGAAGAGTATTTGCCACCAATCATTATTGTATATACCTGGCCATCTTCAAGCTGGCCCTTGTAGACCCTGCCGAAGCCCCCCTCTCCCACAATACAGTCAGGATGGAAGTTGTTGGTCGCTGTCGCTAGCTCACGGAATGTGAATGATCTTTCAGCTTTGGCAGTAATTGGAATTCGTTTGGGAGGTTCAGTATTTTTCGCTGCTACAGATGATTTCTTGTTGTTTGAATGGCCACGTGGCGACTTGTCAGATTCTGCAGTCATAAGTTGTAGGATATATTAGACAGAAATACAGAATTCCAATTTGTGCTTATTTATCTAGACTAGTACAAGATTACAAAAATATCAATTGTTTATAGTCTATCCATGTCATATTTGCAGAAATCATTTTGATCTGTCATGGTTTATATTTTGGACTTAATGATACGTGACAAGAATGAGTGTGACATGACATCAAATGCATGTATCACTGGCACAAAAGTACAGAACAGATAATACAGAATATAATGGTTAGGCAGATTTAATTTAGACAAATACAGTAATATATATACACAGGTATCCAGAAGGGACTAATGTGGCGCAGGAGTGCTTTTTGTCCTTAGACAAAGGTACAATGTATGTCTGTCAGTAGAGGTTTAATGGAATCTAATCTACATAGTGATTGCATGGAAGAAGGGAAGATATTAAAGGACTTCAAATCTTAGAGGTTTTCTAGAACAGTGCATCTTCTAGTTTTTGTTTGTCTGATTTTGAGCTGATGCTGCTACCACTCAACCTAATTTATGCTCAGTTTGAATGAATAGCATATGAATTATCTTTTTGTTGGTAAGATTTGCCTTACCAGAGTTCTTGAGGGATGATCCATGTTGTGAGGAGGCTTTCTTCACAACTGTGAACGGCATCTCCTCCATCCTCTTTGACAGCATCTTCTTGTCAGGCTTGAAGCATGAAAAGAAGCTCATCTCTGCTCACTGTATGAAAATCTCTCTCAATCCCTGTGTCTCCTTTTGTTGAATTTACAATCCCTGTGCCTCTCTTCCCTTGCAACTGATAAGACTTTTGGTTGTGCACAACAGGGGCAGCAAGGTTATACAGGCTCCCTTCTCCTTTGCTAAAGATTCTGTTGTCAAGTCACAGATTGTTCTTGAACATGCGCAAAAACAAGAGGAGCATTTTTTTTGTTTGTTTTTGAAGGGCCACATTAGGAGCATTTTCTTCATGCTTCTATGGAGGAGTGTGCTGAACCAAGAATAGAAGTCTCTTTGTTTTTGGGCCATGGTTGAATTCTAAAATTAGATAGGGTGCACTGTTGAGAATTACCGTCTTCGCGAGCATCCTGGATGCAACTTCCTACTTAGAAAGTTCAGGTTCTAGTAACCGAATCCGCTGGATTTTTACTCATGTTGTCTTCTTGGTTTGAGTTTTAGAAATTGGACTGTTTTGTCTTCCTATCAGTTATTGAAGTGATCTGATCTGGATTGTTCAAACTTGATCAAAAACTGTTTGGTCACTCATAGCTTCTCATTTAGATCAGTTTAGTCTGGACTATGGATGCCTGCCTGCTTGCTGAACCATGCCTAATAGACAGGCAATAGAAACCAGAATCCTGTGAAGTTACTGCTCCATCTGTATCATCTTTAACCAACCAAGCAAGTCACCTGGCACTTCAGTTAGAGCAGGTACAATAGCAGGCTATTAGCTAGCTGTAAACATATTTTAATAAGATAAAAGATGAAAGAGAAGAGCAGCGGGCTACATTTCTGTAGCCAGCTGCAGCACGAACTCCAAGACGCAATGTGTGTATGACAGGTGGGACCATATATTAGTAGTATAGTAAGCAACTATTGTATAAATTGGCTATTAGATTGGCTATAGATGAATTGGAGCTAGTAGTGGACTATACTATTAAACTTGCTCTTACATAGCCTTTAGAGCAGGTATAATAGCAGACTATTAGCTAGCTGTAAACATATTTTAATGAGATAAAACATGAGAGAGAATAGCAGCGGGCTACAGATCTATAGCCAGCTGCAGTACGGACTCTAAGACGCAGTGTGTGTATGATAGGTGAGACCATATATTAATAATATAGTAAGTAACTATTATATGAATTGGCTATTAGATTGGCTATAGATGAATTAGAGCTAGTAGTGGGCTATACTATTAAACTTGCTCTTATAGACTTTGAGCAAATAAGCACCCTGTCAAAAAGTGAAGAACTGCTCTCAAATCTCATGAGAAAAGGACTCGGGTTGTTTGATATATGAATGATTGTACTACTGGTGAAAAGTCCTCTGTGACATTGAGGCTGTTGTGATCCAGGCATGTGAGGTACTGTGCTACCCCTTTTTGGTCTGTGATGCAGTACAGCCACGTTGAGCCTGCAGGCTAGTAGTATTGCACTTGCAGTTGCAGTCTTGCAGATACTCTCTCTCATGACTGTCCTGTTAGTTTTGTTTTGTTTTCATTCTCTAACAACAAGGTTAAGTTATTAATCTCAGGGTGTTTGGCAGTGACTGAGTTATGCAGAATCAGATAGTACATGTGCTTGATCAGGGTCATTTCCCAATAAATACACCGAAAATTCTGGCCGAGATTTGCCGACGTCTCCAATGGCTTCAACTGCAACAATACGCCATTGAATTGAAGACGCCATCTGTGAAAATGTGGCTTTGCCTGCCTGTCATGCCGGCTGCTGATCTCTGCCATCAGAGGCCCAAATTATGGTCCTCTCGTGTCAGCAACCTCAACATGTGATGTGGGGTTGTGGGTGCTGTACCATATAATCCATGAACTTAGGCTGTGTTTAGATACAAAGTTTGGATCCAAACTTCAGTTCTTTTCCATCATATCAACCTATTATAGACACGTAACTTTTTAGTCACATCATCTCCAATTTCAATCAAAATCCAAACTTTGCGCTGAACTAAACACAACCTTATTGGGTGGATAATTTGTGTTCAAGATCTGGACATCCATCTTGGAGACGTCACGATATTTATTCCTTCATATAAAAAAAATTGCATATGACCGTGTTCAATAAACAAGGACTACAATGTCGTATGATGCAGAGGATGGGATTTTTGTTCCATTATCTTAAAAAAAACGTTGCATAAACATTAGCAATCTCATCATAGCTTAAGAGAGAAGCATGGTTTGTGATGTGGTGTCCTAATCTTTGTAGAAAGGGAGGAAAAGAAGAAGAAAAAAAAATCCTTATGTAGTGTTCTTTCAGGGGGAGAAAATTTATGTAGTGAAACATATCATAAAGATGGAGACTAGTGTTAGTCATGTTTTGGCACTGGTCAATTATCCCTTTCTTTGGCGTGATTGAAGAGTAGGATGCTTTTAGGAAAAAAGAAGCGACAACTCTACAAATGAAGTCAACTTTTTAAATTACCATCACTTCCAAAATCCCATTCCTTCCCTACAAACACAAGGCAATGCTTAGTGAGGGCCCCCTACCTTTTCCATCAAAGCTATGGTTGCTTTTCAATCCCTGCTTGACAATGACTCCATACCATCCAGCACAAGAATGAAAGTAGCTGCATATTCTCATGATCCAATTTTCTCCCTCCATATATAATTCCATTTCTTCATCATTCCAAATGTTGGCCTAATTCGATCAATCGCATAATTCCGACAAAATCGTTTTCAGTTAATTCATGTTAATATGTCAGAAATTCAGAATTCAATCAGTTTTCGTTTGTATCTGGAAGATATCTACAAAATATTTGATGAGCTAAACATTTTCATAGCTACAGTGAGATGATGAGCTGATGTATAGTACCACCATACACACAAGCCTCCAAACCTATGCAGACAAGAGTGTATGATGGTTGAGAAGCAACACTTGATGGAGGAGGATGAGACATCCATGAGAATGGTCCATTATTCCCAAACCTCAGGCTATCCTCATGAACTTCATTCCAAACTCCTATGTCTGGTTCTTGTGTCCCTAATAAGGCTCATATGGCATGGGCCCGAATTGGCAAAATATTTTAGTAATAGAAGATTGTAATGTACCCTTCATCGTTCAGAAAAAAATATATTTCGGTTTCTGTACCAATGATGCCAACAAAGAAAAAAAACACAAGTAGTCAAAGCGTGTAGATGAACAGTAGGAAATACACAGATGTTCTATCTTCTTATTTGTAAACGTAGGAAATACACAGATGTTCTATCTTCTTATGTATAACCCCAATCAACATCAACACACTAAAAATATAATGAGAATTTCTTATATCTTCCGCTGTATTATTATTGCCATCTTTGATTGGAAAAGAGTCTTAACACCAAAAACACACCATTGCAGAGGATTTCTGTCAAGCGGAGAAAACCGGTGGAATACCGGAAACCGAAAAGACCAGCACACTGTTGTGGGCTCCAAAACTGTTCCGGGCCCACTCGACAGTGACAGCGAGATCACGGGACTAAGCTAAGCCAGGTAGGCAAAGTATAATCGATCTATCCAGGCTGACGTTGACAATTCCACGCTCATCGAATCAGTTAGTTGAGCGTGCTTGAGTGAGTGACACTATCAGTGGCTGTGGCTGTCTTGCTTTAGTTAGCATACAAGTACTACTAGTAGTAGACAAGCAACAGCAACAACAGTGTTAGGATTAGTGGCAGCTACTAATAACTCAGGCTAAGCTATTGATATCTTGATAATCCAATTGAGAATTTTGGTTGGTGGCTCGAAAGAATGAATCATGGATGACTTTCATGCGATGCTCCTAAAAGCAAAGCTAATAATAAGTAGGAGTAATCACTAGCAGATAGCTAGAACTAGAAGAGGTGATCAGTAATTATGCAGCACTAAGATTGGAAGGGAAGATGCTTTCCTTGCCATGCTGCTGCAGCAACCAGCTCAGCTTCCTGCCCAATTGCTCAAGCATTGGATATTTCCATTCCATTGCACACCCAACAAGTCATTCCTATGTAAAATGTTACTGTATTTCAACAAGATATTTTGTTCTTCATTTAACAAAAAGAAGGTACTTTTGTTCACAGAAATCTGATGAATTAATCTGCTTGCAGTTCTGTGAAAGAATTTGCGAGAATAATGGATTACTGGATTGAACGAATGAATCATCTGATTGATTTCTTGGATTATTAATTATCAAGATAAGTAAGTAGGAGTATTACAAATGGAATTTTGAGCTCAATGCTAATCTATGTACTCAATACATATACATACAATTGGAGAGAAAATTACCACCACTAGAATCTAGTAGGATTAAGAGAGAGAGAGAGAGAGAAAAACAAGGCAGTAAAATTCACCGGGCGGCGTCGCCGGCGGCGGCGGAGCTGAAGGCGGCGATGTCGTGGCCGCCCTTGCGCAGCGTGCTGGTGAGCGAGGAGGAGCTGAGCGAGTCCGACGAGGAGTCGTCGGAGAGGTCGTTGAGGCCCAGCGCGTTGTAGTCGGACACGCTGTCCTGCAGGCTCAGCAGCAGCTGGTGGTTCGCCGAGAAGCTCATCGACGGCCTCGCCGCCGGCACGAACGGCGGGTCCGCCTCTCCGCCCAGCATCTGCACCACCGCCCTCATCCCCGGCCGCAGCGCCGGCTCCGGGCTCGAGCACGCGAGCCCCACCAGCATCGCCCTCCGCATCTCCGCCTCGTCGTACTCGCCGCGCAGCCTCGCGTCCACCGCGTCGAGCACCTGGCCTGCGCCATGGAGGCTCCACACCCACTCCACCAGGTTGTTGCACCTCCCCTCCGTCGCCCCGATCGGCCGCCGCCCGCACGCCACCTCCAGCACCAGCGCGCCGAAGCTGAACACGTCGGTGGCCTCCGTGGCGCGCCCCGTCAGGAGGTACTCCGGCGCCAGGTAGCCCATCGTGCCGGCGGCGGCGGTGGCGTCGGGCGACTCGCCGTGCTCCGCCTGCCGCGCCAGGCCGAAGTCGCCGAGCCGCGCGCGGTATGCGTCGTCGAGCATCACGTTGCTGGACTTGACGTCGCGGTGGATGACGCGCCGCTCGCACTCGTGGTGGAGGTAGGCCAGCGCCGAGGCCACGCCGGCGAGGATCTCGCGGCGGTGGCTCCACGGGAGCACCGGCGAGGACGCGTCGAACAGCGCCTTGTCGAGGCTGCCGTTGCGCATGTAGTCGTAGACGAGCAGGATCTCGCCCTTCTCGTGGCACCACCCCTGGAGGCGGAGCAGGTTGCGGTGGCGGAGGCCGGCGATGATGGAGAGCTCGGAGAGGAACTCCGACCGCGCCTGCGCGCCGTCGGCGCTGGCATTGGTGCAGCGCTTGACGGCGACCATGGCGCCCGTGTCCGGGATGATGCCCTTGTACACGGTGCCGAACGCGCCGTTCCCGATGACGCGGGACGCGTCGAAGCCGCGCGTGGCGGCGCTGAGCTCCTTGTAGGTGAACTCCCGCGGCGAGCGCGCGAGCGCCGCCGCCGACGCTAGGCTGTCGCGCTTGTCGGCCACCGCCGCCAGCGCCGTGGTGCCGCGCCTCCTCGCCCTGGCGCGGCGCGCCAGCGCCCACAGCGCGAAGCCCGCGAACGAGACGGCCACGAAGGCCCCCGCCGTCGCGGCGCCCGCCACCGCCGCGTGCGCGGGCGGGTGCGGCGATCCGGCATTACTAATCCCGGCCGTCGAATTGGCCGGAGCGCTCGCCACCGCGACCGAGTTGGTGGGAGGCATCGAAACCGTGGACGCCGGCGGCGACGGCGTCGTCGTGGATACGCCGGGAAGCTGCGGAGGCGAGGGAAGCATCGGATTAAGACTCGCCGGAGGCGGAGCGGCTGACGAAACCGGCGCTTCCGGCGGCGGGGACGAAGGCGTCGCCATACGCGGGGACGGCTTGGACGGCGACGAGGAGGAGGAGGTGGGCGTGGAGAATGTCCACCACTCGACGGCGTGCATCTCGGTGCTCCCCTGCGTGGAGGCGGAGAAGCCGACGAACGCGTCGCCCTTGACATACTCCCCGAGATCGAGCGGCGCGGAGAGCACCGGCTCGGCGGGGCGCTTGGGCGAGTACGAGACGAACACCTCCATGCCGCTCTTGGGCGAGTACTCGATCCACGCGTTCACCGTCCTCCCGCTGGTGAGCTCAACCCCAACGCCATCAAGATCGGCAACCGCGGCGGACACCATGCTCCCAAGATCCAACCCGACGTGATTCCCATTCACATCCCCGAACTGCACATCCATGAGGGTGTCAAACTCGACGGCGGCGACATCGGACGCGGCGGAGACGCCGATGTAGGGCCCGGCATCGCCGAGGGTGACCCCGTCGGAGGCGAGGACGAAGGCGAGGCCGCCGCCGACGGAGTCGGCGTTGAGGGTGGCGACGGTGAAGGCGAACTGGGTGGAGAAGCCGCCGCGGAGGGCGACGGGGGTGGCGTAGAGCGCCCGCCCCGCGCCGGAGTTTGGGACGGGGAGGTCGCGGGAGAGGCGGATGGTGCCGTTCTTGAGGTGCGCGTCGCCGAGCAGCTTGAGGCTGCCCAGCGTCAGCGTCGCGTAGTCGAAGCACAGTGCAGTGGACACGTCAGCTGCCACGGCGGCGAGCAGAAGCAGCAGGAGGAGGAGAATCGGCGGCGGCGGCGGTGGTGGTGGTGGTGGCGCCATGGGTGGTGGCATGAAGACGAGGAGGAGGAGTAGACATGGGAGGTGGGAGATTTTAGAGGGAGAAGTGGTGGGGAGGGGGGGGGGACACGTGCGAAGCGCAGCGGGGGAGGCAACGGTAGGGAAGAAAATGGTGGGAGTGTGTGAGGTGTGCAGGGGCAAATCGTCTGCTGTACTGCACCTGCAGTAGGTGTCACTGGCACGTGGGTCCCACCTGCTTCGGGCCCACATGTCAGTGACGTATACTGGTATGTGCATTACAGCAGAGGATCAGTGAACCATCAGCCATGGACTCCATTGTGTTGTGAGCTGCTTTTTTTTTTTTTTTGGGCGGGTGCGGTGGGAGAGGGGGTTTGGAGCGACGTGGTTTTGGTGGGGTGGTTGCACGGAAACGCACGCACGGGCACGGACACGGGAGGGAGAGACTGGTTGTACACGAGCACACAATGACATGCCTATCGACTGCCGCGCCTGCACGACGACGACGCGCGCCGCCGCCAACTCGAACGGTAACTACGGGCTACGGCGACGGCCGGGCAGCTCGCACGTCCGCGTCGTGGGCGCGCCGCGGGCTCGGAAGCGACCGTCACAGAGGTTAGGTATTTGTCACTCCGCGGCTGAAATGATTTTAGGTTGTATCGTTTTCGTTTATGCTTATAATTATACACGAGTCGCTTATTAATGATTAAAAATAATTTATGAGAAAAAATTATATGCATGTGATTTACGAATAATTTATGAATAAAAGTTTTATATTTTTATTAAAAAAATATTATAAAATAAACTATGATTAGAAAATCACAAAATCAACTTTTAAAAATAGCTTATATATACCGGCATAAGTGAAACAATAGCTAGCGTCTATTTATCTTTGATGGATTCGAAACGATAAACCGCTTTTCAAAAGGAGGTGTATGTCTTTTTTGGAAATATGTAGGTACTAAATTTAGTTTTACTACTTTCTTCACAACACTATAAGTCATAACATCATGTTATGATATGAGTACATCTACGTTGTCAATAACTTCAATCTACTTAATTAAATAGTTGAGATTATTGTTTATAAGAGTATTGTAAAGAAAAAAGTTAGTACGTCTAGCTATGCTTTCTTTTTCTAAAATAAGGAAATTCAACTCAATGCGTCAATTTAGGTACTAATCGCCACGGATCTCTAAGATTTCATGTTGTGAGGGGAGCCAAGCCCTGCAATGGTGGTGGTAGTACTGGTAGCTTTGAGATCCATGGCGATTACGTGAAGGCTGGCGTAAACTACACTAGAAAGACGACAATTGGGATAACATACAATATATACTGCTGCAATATACTAGTAGTACCAGTCTGTAATATATTTCAGTGAATGTTTATTTAATCGAGTCAAGCAGAGCAAACGAGATCGATCCTTGGATTTCATTTTCTAAGAGCAAGTTTAATAGTATAGCCAACTATTAGTTCTAAATTATCTATAGCCAATATAATAGCCAATTTATATAATAGTTCCTTACTATACTATTAATACCTGATTTTACCTGTCATACACACGTTACGTCTTGGAGTCTGTGCTGTAGCTGACTACAGATCTGTAGCCCGTTGATCTTATCTCTCTTTATTTATCTTTTTAAAATATATTTATAGCTGGCTTATAGCCTGCTATTGTACCTGCTCTAACACAGATTTGCTCTGGTTCTCGACCCCCCACATACTCATACAGTCATACTGCTACTGTACTACTGTCTACTATTACTAGTACAGTAGTAGTCCTCATTTTGCATTGTCCTGACATTAGCCAGCATGCCATTTTATAACCATTCAATTTACACTTTACATATACACCGCATTCTTGTACTTGTACTACCTACATATATCTTGTGGAAATACATGGAAATCCTTGATTAATTAGCTGTGTCACATGCGTGCACGCTACCAATGGAAATGGGTCGGCTGCATCATCATCATCATCCAGAGCACTGCATGGAGACGCTCTACAACTTGCTGTAGTTAGCTAGCACTAGTGCTGGCCTTCGTCTCTAGTAGTAGTAGTACTACACCTATAAAACAACCACGTGTTTCATCCTGTTTGTTGGAGCATGCACGATAAATAGTAAGATTTTCGGTTCATTATACTCAAATATATTGCATTCACCTAAAATCTCTTATATTATAGGATAGAGGAGTATTGTATTGGATGTGAGGCCGGGTTTCCAATCCATTATCTAAAATAAATAGTAAGATATTGCACGGAATATGTATATATAGCAACAAATATAGGAGATTATACCTTCTTTCAAAAAAAAAATTCCTCTCCTCTCGTACACATGACGTGCCGAGAGTTTAAATTTTATTTTTCAAATGAATTTAAAATTGGTATAATTATATATATGCTGATATGCATTCATGGTGACCAAAAACCCACTCCAATTGCAAGAGAGTGACACCGTGTCAATGACAAAATCATACGAGTGGATAACATATGGATCGATCGATGGATCATACGGGCCAGCTAGCTTGGCTGGCGTTTCTTGCAAGCTAATTCATCGGTCCGAAATATATCCATAATCATTACCATGTCCCAGGAATATATAAAATTGCACGACAAGTATATTCTATATTGAGTATACTTCTATATGTATATGCACACATACCTGCCTGCACAAAGGCTGTAGTTTTTTTTTAAAAAAAAATGAAAAATCTTCTGGTGCAAGTAAAAGTGTTGGCGAAGGCCTGCTCTGCAAGGGCCATTAGTGCCATGGGCCAGGGCCCATTGGGCCATGAGCAGGCCCGTGGGTCCCATTATGCACAGGGCAGTCAGCGCAATGGTAAGATAAGCCCAACTCCCCAAATGCTACTCCAATTCAGGTCCACGTCAACCGGTCCATACCCCATGCCAACACTACCTCAGGTCAGGCGTGTAAGTGGCCAACCCACGAATTTATTTATAGATAAAATAAGTGGATTAGTGATTTATGTTTGTTTATAAGTGAGCTCACGGGTTAACCACTTACACCCTTACATCAGGACTTAGCCATAAAAACAAATGGAAAAACAATAAGGAGCTAGAAATGGATGGATATGATCAAGAAATTTCTGAAACCGACCTTCAGGCTGTGCCTTTTGCCGACCAGTTATTACCGTTCTAATTAATCCTCTATGAGAAATCAGAACTACCCGCAACACATCGACGCAAATGTTGGTTGGATTGATCAGTGATGGTAGCAAAATCCCAACTAAAATTCACTAAATTCAGAAATCGTCGGGGACTTTTGTTGCAGAGCAATACGAACTAGCTAGCTAGGAAGCATACGTTGCTCGCTGATGAACAAGAAATAGAAAGTTTTGCAATTCGGCAACGATCGAAGTCTAAGTAAAATGGACTAGATTGTGAAGCTCATGTGATGCATCGGCATCGCGTCCTCGACGTCGCCGGCGCCGGCGAGGCGAGGCGAGAGCGGCGTGTCATCAGTGACGGCAACGATCGATGCGGCGGCGTGCGTAACAAGTTGCACGCAGTTTTGAGTTTCTCAACATTACCAAATTAAATCTTGTTACTTCCCAAAAAAAATAAATTAAATCTTGTTACTTCTTCAAACTCCGGCTCGCAAGTGATAAAATTGGCTTGGCTTAAATGAGCTCGGTGTACATTGGCGTCTTCTTCACTCCACGGATGCATTTCTGACGAAACTGCATGCAAATTAACACGTATGCCAGCGTGGTGGTGGTGTTCGGGTGCTTGATTTAGCCGGAGACGACGAGACTAAGCTGGGGATAGCCATAGCCGGCGGCGGCGCTCCGGCGAGGGGTCGAGAGTGAGGCGGTGGATGGGGGCGAGGGGGTTCGGAGGAAGAAAACTCCGATCCCCTTTGGGATCTCTGCGGGCCGTTCGATCCAGAATGTGTGGCCCAGATGAGTGACTCCCGAGAAAGGCCGAGCATTCCGCCTCAATTTAGGCCTATTACGAAGAAACAGCCCAAGAAGGCCCATTATGGGGACGGAGAATTAACGTCCGACACTATAGTTCAAAATTTGACAAAAGATGATGAATGCAAACAGCTCAGAAGATCTAGAATGTGTGAGACCTGCGTGCAAATGACCTGTGAGGGTAGATTTGTAGGATTGTTTTCTATAATCCACTTATTAGGGCCTCTTTCAAATAAAAGTTTTGAATTAATTTCCGTCATATGGTACAAGCCAAGATTTACAGTATGTTACTACAAGGTGGGCCGTATTATGGGATGCAGAGCGAATGGGCTTGGCCCAGTCCACATGCCAAAGGATCAAGTCAACAATCATATTACTATTTACTAGTATGAAGAAACGGATTCGCTAGATTTTTGTCCATAGAAAATAGGGAGAAAAACTTTCGATTTTTTGGTTGTCAGATTTGCCTCAAGATTCGTGCTGGTGTATAGAGGGAAAAAATTCACGTGAGAATTAGGGAACGAACTCAAGGCCTCGCTCCCACAAGCCGTGCATGCTAGCCACTTGATCTGTCGCAAGTTTCTAAATAATTAGACAAATTACATATTAGTACATTCCATTCCACTTACATCCGAGTTACAATATATATATACACTATGATTACATTTAAAAGATTTTAGAGAAATTGTCTTTCGACAATTTTACAGGTAGTCTCATGAAGAAAACATCGAACAACATATCAACTAGCCAAGGCTCTTCTTCCTCGAATGGCTTCTCCCCGACGTGTTCCAATATATAGCTTTGTCAATACTAAGATTGATACGGTGTTTGTAAACGTTGTTTGAAAAAGATTATTCACCGGATTATTTTTCTTGGACAATAATAATATGGATTATACATAATAGCATCAACTTTTTTTTTATGAAAAAGATGAGCGCCCATAATAAAATACCCTTATTTATGCTGTACATTGCAGTGCAGAGGTGTGGTGGACAAAAGGTGAGCGAGTTGCTTTAATGTAGTGTCCTCTCTGTGTCCCTTCAACTAATGACATCTTCTTCTTGTTGCTGTTTGTTTTGTTTGGGATACTGCTTGACTTGGCCAGTATACTCAAGTGAAGCTACTGTACGAGTAGTAGGATGGTATTGGAATCTGGAGGAAAAAACATTACGGGATCCTATGCCT